GACAGGTGCATCAGGGTTTTTGGTAGGGAGCTGAGAAGCTATAACAGACGGGGACAAGAAAGCAGCAGGGCCAGCTTTAGCCATGATTTCAAGAAGGTCAAGTTCAATGGCTGTTTTGAGGACCATGGGTAGAACCGAAGCACTAGCTAGTTGCATGGCAAAGTTGCTGGCTTCTTCATCTGATACCTCAGCTGGAGTCATCTGAGTTTCACCTGTTGAACCCATCTTGATCAAGCTGATTGACTCTTTACAGTTATAAAGGGTTGAAGAAGGAGTGAGAGAAGAGAGGAGAATACTGGGACAGGGATGCAAAGTGGTGCCATATATACGGTGTAGCGCTCACCCACCTCCTACTTTGTCCCTATTCTCTACTCACAAATGTCCACTGCCTAAACACGACTCCCTACCTTCTTTTTTGTTTTTTGTTTTTTGTTTTTTTTCATTTTTTATACTCTTTTTTTTGACAATTTTTAGTTGTTATTTCTTATCCAACCTGTTTAGGCCAAGACTTTTTGGGATATATATGATGATGCATCATCCTAACCAGATCAATTAAGGTCCAGAAAACTTCGTTTACCATATCTTTTGATGGATTAGCAAGCCTACCTAATCATGTCTTTTATAGTTGATTTAGAGATAAATTAAGCTTTTACCTCCACACAATATATAAAGGTACTTTGGATACTCATTTACTTTCCTTTCATATTAGATGGGTTTTGTGCTAAAAAAAAAAAAAAAAAAAGCTTTTGAGTATGCAACTTTATATTGTGGTTAGTGATGACTGATTTTGTTTATTAAATGGCTGGGTTAACAATCTATAACGAAATAGATTAAGGCAATATGAAAATAACGTGACAACATTGAATTATATTTTTTTTTCTTTATTGGTTAAGAAGAGAAGAAACCTTAAGTTTTTCTTTTATGATTGCATCAAATTATTATCGGAAGGATTGCTTTTAGTACAAGTTATATCCTTTAGGTATTTTCTCTTGATTTAATATTCCAACAAGTTCTTTGATGGATAGACTCTAAAGAGTTAATTAATAATACTTGACTCGGTAAATAAAAAAAATAAAAAAATAGGAAACTTATCATAGTATCAAATGATGAATGACTACTTTTCTATTTAATCAAATCGATTCAATTTTTACTGTTACAAAATTAATACATGCTCTATTAATAATGCTTGACTTGGGCGCTTGAAATTGCAGCCTAGCAGAACGAGAGTTTATTCCTTGAGGATTACTCGGATTCGACTCTTTACGCAAACGTCCGTCACCTCTACGATGTCTTACATGCTCCTAGGCTTGTAGGGTGTTCGATGAGGCTTCGAGGATTAGTCGCGGTGCGTGCATAGTTAGCTCGAACACCTTGGATTGCCAAAAAAAATATATATATATATATATATATATAATGCTTGACTTGGTAAATTGTTAGCTATTTGTTCTTTTTTTTTTTTGTGATTTATATTGAATTTTCATGAAGACTTATGCAGTTTCCAACTGACTAAGTCAATTCTGAAAGTTCTAAGCTGCCAGTTTCAGATCCTAAAGTTATAAAAGTCGCGATTTGTATTAAAATGAATAGCTGAGATTTGTTTTTTACGTTAATAAAAATTAGAAGTCAAATTTGTGGGTCGGTGGGATTTTTTCTATTTTTCAAATTATTTTTATTGAAAATCTTACATTTATTTTCATATCAATTGAGATTTTTTTTTTTTTTGTATTATTTGAAAATTTTCGTTATAACATCATTAGTTAGTTATGACCTTCTATTACAACAACGATGTATAATTCTATAAAAAATATGTATAACTTAACAATGATATACAGATACTCATAGTTTTTATACTTTCTTTCTTTATGAAATAAATCTGAGTTTCAACCACTCCAATTTATTTATTCATCATTAATTGTATAAAAACTAAGCATTAATAATAATAATAATAAAAACTAAGCATTAATATTCTACTAGATGCTCTATTATTTAGCTCAAAACTAGACTAATCTATTTATTGGGTTTCGTTGACAAGTGAATACTAATCAAATAAGGCAAAATCTTACCTACTCCTTGTAGACAAAACGTTGCAGCAATTGGAGACTAGGAAAGCGACACATCGTCTATCTCATGTTGACACCACCCACCACTAGTTTTTTCCGGAAGCAAAGGCAAGCCTAATTATATTTATTTCAATGCCAAGATACCAGCTGACGTCCCTTCTTCACCAACCTCCCCACCAAACCCGCCTGCAATATTTCGGTTTTTTTTTTTTTGTTTTTTCCTTTTGTAAAGATTGAGATTTGTATTTCGTTTTCGTCTTCATTATCGTCATTCGTCACCTCATCTCTGAACTTGGTAATTGATACCCTACTCTATATATTGTCTGAAAAATAAACAAAACGTTTTTTTCAATTTTGACAGTTAATAGGATGTTTGAAACAAAGAATTCTTATATTAAGATTGACAAGTTTCATTTCTGAGGTTGGATAATAATTTTAAATCATGAATTATTGAAAAAACGATCGTATTCGTCAGCGTGAATTGTGACTTATGATAATAATATACTTTAAAACTAATAAATAAGCTGTTCTTATATAAGATAATTTTAAATTACGAATTGTTGAAAAAACGATCGCATTCGTCATCGTAAATTGTAACTTACGATAATAATATACTTTAAAACTAATATATAATCGTTATTGTATAAGATAATGATTGTTATTTAAAATTATGGGTTCAATATCGATTGCTATTGAACTATAATTTGATAATTTATAATAACAATAAGAAGAAGAAGAAAGGAAAAAGGTTGCTATCAATAGAAAACCTGAATTCAGTAAGATTGAATGCTCCTTCCTTAGAGTTTGACAAACTAACTGCTTCCATATGCAAAACTTATAATTGATGACAAATGGGGAACTTTTTCTTATAGCAAAAAAAAAAAAAAAAAAAAAGGTCTTCATTTGGAATAAAAAACTGCAACTTCAATAATTTGTTAATGCAGAACTTAGAATTATTGATTTATTGGCAAAGAGGTGAAGAAATATACTTATCATCCTATTTCAATCATTTTTATTTTTATTTAAATACTAATATCCCTCTGATATCTTGATTAATTTAATCACATAAACATCCAAGCATATAAGTCTATATATTATAATCACAAATTTTACAAAATTAATTTAAGCACACCAACCCCATGTGTAATGTTCTAAGATAGAGACGAGATGGTTTACCTTCTATTGATTGTGTTTTACTAAGTCCAAATAAAGTTGATTATGTAAAAACACTTGACTGGGAGAAATCGACAACTACTGGGATCTTGTATGTCCATGCCTCCTATTTTGGAGTAAATTATAAATTAATCTCTTTATTTTTAAAAACGAATTAATTCATTCTTTTATTTTAAAAACTAATTATTTAGTTAATATATTTTAAAAATTTTTAAATTAACTTTTTTGTTTTAAAAATAGAAAAAAATGGAAGAATTGATGAAAAAATATGACATTTTATCAAATAAAATAATATTAAATTAAACATAACGAATACTAATTAAAAAAATAAAAAAATAATTTTTAAAATAAAAAAATTAATTAATTCGTTTATTGAAAATAGAGGGACCTGTTAATGACTTACTATCATTTTTCATTAGGTCAATCATCCACGATTTCATTTATTCTACTTCTTATCCATAAGGTAGACAAATGGAGCGACAATCGAGGGACATTTGAAACGATAGGGAGTGCTAATTGGGCGATCAACTCATGAGATTATTTAATATTAACGTATCTATCAAGTTCACATCAAATTCCTTTCACATTTTGGAGGGGAGGCATTGTTAGGTGAAACAAATTATAGCATTAGGTATGCATTTTAAGGTTTAATAAGTTATGTAATTAAAAAAAGATTATCAAAGCTCGAGAGGGTTAACAAGTCTCTCTCACAAGAATTTGATTGTCTTATGTAAGCTCAATTCTTAGATAGATTCTTTTTAATGGGTTAATGATTGCAATGATTTATTTATTTATTTATTATTTTTTTTGTTAAGTTCATCTTCTTATATTTAATTTATTTTTTATAATTTTGTTATTTTCTTAAATTTTTTGGCTAATGGTGTTAAATAGCATCATTAACTCTATTGAACTACAACATGTGTCAACTTGTGTTTTTTCTATCTCATTCATGTTCCTTTACTCTTCTTTTAATCTTAATCTCTCTCTCTCTCTTTTTTATGAATTTAAATAAATAAATTAAAAAAAAACTGAAAGAAAAATTAAAGATATGTCGGATTATTTTTTCTAAAAATCAACAACAAAAAAAGAAGATAAAAATATATTTTTATTCGAATAATCATTTATGAGTTGAAATTTATCTTTATATTAATATAAAAAATTGAGTATAAAATAAAACATTTATTGTATTTTTTACAAGTATAAGTGAAATTCCCTTCTGCCCCCTACCCCTAACACCATCTTCAAAGATTTAATAACACTCTTGAAGACTGTGACATTTCTAATTTGGTCCCACAAGAGCTCGATTCACCCTTCGTCTTCGATCCGGCCCATACCCTAAAGGTTATGGATCCGAGTTCCTCATCATCAGAGAGACGGTGCTATGAGTAGCCCATGGGTCTCTGAAGTGCTAGTGTAAGGGCCCATCAACTATAGAATTAGGAATGAACCAAGGTTTGAGGAGGATTTCGGCCCATATATGGATGGGCTACATTTCAATGTCACAAAAACAGATAAATTCTATTGAAAATTTGGTTCCATTTATAGCCCATTTTGAGGTACGGTTTTGTTTTGGTCTAAACTTTGTAAGAGAGCAGGCCTTAAATTTCAACAACAAATATTTCCACAGCCCAACAAAAACTCCTTCCGCCCCTTTTGACACGGTTCCTTGGAAAAGCAACGGTATTTTTTGGTATTGTAGTTTTTGAATTTGAACTTGCTCTGTCTTGTACTTGGTGTATTATTGTCCTGGAAGGCAAAGAGACAGCCATGGAGGTTAAAGAAGGAGAAGGGGCTCTCAAAACGGCAGTGATTGAGATTACATCTTCACCATCTCCAGATGGGACTCGAATCAGACCAGTATTTTGTTTGAAGAAAACAAACATGGAAAACATTAGAAAGTTTGAAGAGATGGAGGATTGCTTTATCCTTGATTTTGACCCTTCTGAAATTGACACTGCTATTCATCGTATCTCCACTCTTTCTGTCTCCTCCTTGCCTGATGATGATGGTGGTGCTGATCTCTCTGTTGTTGCTGAAAAAGGCCAGGTCTTTTTTCTATTTTTTTTTAATTATTATTATTTTTTTTTGGCTGAGCAGGATAAAAGGTTTTGCTTTTTTGTTTGATGGGCAATAAAGGTTTGATATTTATTGGATTTTGTTACTGTATAGGTGGCTTGCAGGGATTATCCACACTCAAGGCATCTTTGTATTAAATACCCATTTGGTAAAACCCCACACGAGAGCTATTGTGAACTGGTAATTATTAATGGGGTTTGAGTTTGGGTTTGGAGTTTTAGATGGTTTTGGTTTTTAATTTTGTTGACTTAATTCGATTGCAGTGTTATTGCTATGTTTGTGATTGTGCTGCGCCATGTAAGGACTGGAAGGATTCTAAATCAGCTCATTGCGACGCTTCTGATAAAATTGGTGATTGGAAGGAGCAGAGGTCGAAGAGAAAGGAAGAGATCAAACTCTCAAAGTCTTAATCTTTCTGGTTTTGTTAATGGTACCTGACGCTTGCATTGCATTGCAAAAGCTGATCCTTTTGATGTCAATTAGTCAAATTTGTGCTTAGAATTTGATGTGTTGCTGCTAGGGATAGTTGTCAAAATGTTGAATGCGATAATTTAAAGAGGCATATTTGATACTATTTGTCTGTAATATCTAGCTAGTGGGCGGTAGTAAAGATGATTTAACACTGCATTGGCTACAGAGAGGTATCTATAGGCCATATGCTGTTCTAAATCTAAATTGCCTGAAACCTTTCTCATGTTTCAAGAGAGTGCATCATACTAGCTACTCAATTGGAACCTTTCGAACACTGAAGTATGAAACTTTGTTTGTAATGGCAATTGTAACAGCTTCAAACACATTGTTTTGAGCTCCTTTTGGAGAAAATGAAGCTACTTTTAATGGATTATACATTGTTGTCTTCTCCTTGATTCCTGAGTTCGCCGATCAGCTAATGGATCAAATCATTTTCATGGGAAATCTTCATTTTACTTTTTGAAGCCTTTGCCGCATCATATTTCAGTGTGAACTAGTGACCTTGACGATGTTTGCATGTTTAGAGATTGAGTGGACATGATGCTCAACTCATACCTTTCTTTGAAGCCTTGGACCTCATGGCATTGATGGTTAGCAGTGTTGTTTGCATATAAATGGAATGATGAACAAGTGCTTTATTGCAAAACTGAAACAACTGAACTCTGTGTTTTGTATTGTTGGAATGGGATGGTAAACGTTTGAGCAAACTTGTCTCTGAGAACAAGGACAGTCAACAAAAATTTAACCAGGGAAATTCATTCTTATAAGCTGGATCTGGTTGCCATTTATTTACTGCTAATCCTTCATTGCAATTGGTTTGGAAAACTCCTATCTGTCTGTACCTGTGTCTAGGGGGTAATGGTTTTCCTTCCTTGAACACTTTCCACTTCAATCTGTTGTTCCTCCTGCATCTTGCATCTACAATTTGACTTATGATGCAGTAATTTTTCTCATAATTTTGTCATCATACGATAGCTTCTGTCAATTGTGCACAAAGCCAATCGATTATAATTTTTCTCTGTAATTTTCACCTCAGTTGCTTCACGTCTAGGACTAAATGACAGTTGTTTCTACATGGTTTGGGCTCAAGAAACTCCCTAAAGTTTTTCAGTCACTAAAATGTTGGAAAGTAGTTAAAGACTTGAAGTGGTAAAGAACTGCTGATCTTGTCAAACATCAACCACTTGTCCCTGATCCGGTGTCGGATTCACAACTCTTCTAGGTGATTTTAAGTCCTCAACCATGGTGTAATTTGTTTTAAAAGATATAATAAAACATCATAATCCAGCATTAATCAAGCTAAATTTGACTTTACAGAGTTAATAATTTTTATTTATTTATTTGATAGTAAACAATTGAAATTAAATTTTTATTCCAAATTATTTTAAACGCTCATTCTTTTGATGCATTTAAACAAAAGATTTAAATTCATTTTGTTTATCTAATCATACAACGAACAAAGATTTGCTACTTTTTTTTTCAATAAAAGAAAAAAAAATTTTATTCTCACAAAACTTGGGTGTTGTTGAGACTCTAAAATTAAAAATGGGCTAAAAAGAGGGTCCATTTATTAAGCCCATAAAAAGAGATACAGCAGCAGCTGAAAAAGAGACTTCTTCTATCCGGTAATCCCTACCTTCTTTACTCCTCACTCACTCTCTCTCTCTCTCTCTCTCGCTCTCTCATTATCCCAAAACACAAGCAAGGCAGCAACGCCAGCAGCAGCCAAAACCATGTCACCCGGTCCCGTCGTTGATCCTGAACCCGCCGCCGCCGCCATCGAGGAGATCATCTCCAAGGTGGAGGAGACCCAGAAAAAGAAGCCTTCTCAGGTCTTCTTGTTTTTCTCTTATTTGTCTCCAGTCTCTAATAGTTTCTTCTTCTTCTTCTTCTTCTTCTTCTTTTTTATTGTTAGTTTATACTGTGTGTCTATTGAAAAGCAGAACGAGGATGAGCCTGTGGTGGAGGACGTGAAAGAAGATGAGAAGGATGATGATGATGAAGATGATGAAGAGGACGATGATGATGAGGATGATGACACACCAGGTACTCCATTTTCTCTCTTCTCTTCTTGGATGCTCTTTTTATATTATTTGATATGTTTCATTTGTTTTGAAAGTACTTATTATTGATTTGTGAATCTGGGTTTTCTTTCTTCAATTTTTGTTTTCAGTCTTGAAGTTGCTTTTTTGGGTTTAATGCTCGCTCTTGTGTTTGTTTATTTCTTTGTTTTCTCTGCAAATTTTGTGCCTTTGATTTAGTTCTGTGTTTTATGATTTTTTTTGTTTCTATTTGGTTTGCGAGGAAAATGTAGCAAATGAATGCTTTAGTGTCAATGCTCAATTGCTTTTGGTTTATGAGGATTGGAAGTTTATTGAATTTCATTCAATTACAGATTTTGCAAAATCTGAGAAAATTGCCTTTTGAAATACGATGGAAGTGGTCTCTTTGTTTTTCCAGTTATCATGCTTTTCCTGGGATAACAATCCTTAAAGTTTCCATCTTTTGATTTTCATCATGTTAATTAGTTTCTTTTCCTATCGATACCTCTGGGCGTGCACTGCTTTAATGAATGCTTGTCTTGCTATATTTGCTCTCCAGTTTGTCTGTTTACTTAAAGCGTTTTGTTTATATAGCATGCATTACGGCACAATTTTGGCTGGCAATGTTCTGTCAAAGTAAATGATAGGAGTGCTGTGAGGTGCAGGTGCTAATGGGAGTTCCAAGCAGAGCAGAAGTGAAAAGAAGAGTCGCAAGGCAATGTTGAAGCTTGGCATGAAACCTGTTACTGGTGTTAGCAGGGTCACCATCAAGAGAACCAAAAATGTATTCTTTTTTCTGGTGTGTGTGTTCTTGTAACTGCCTATATGATTTCATGCTATTAACCATTTTTTTTTTATCGGCCTTTCAGATACTATTTTTTATCTCAAAGCCAGATGTCTTCAAGAGCCCAAACTCTGAGACTTACATCATATTTGGAGAGGCTAAGATAGAGGATTTGAGCTCTCAGCTGCAGACGCAGGCTGCTCAGCAGTTTAGGATGCCAGACATGTCATCCATGTTACCAAAATCAGATGCTTCTACTGCAGCTGCTACAGCACCAGCAGATGAAGAAGAGGAAGAAGTCGACGAGACTGGGGTTGAGCCTAGGGACATTGATCTGGTTATGACACAGGCTGGGGTTTCTAGAGGCAAGGCTGTCAAGGCCCTCCAGACAAACAATGGGGACATTGTCAGTGCTATTATGGAGCTTACTACTTAGGTTGGCTCCCAGGTTACTCTTGTTTTCTGTTTATGAGTACTTGGAACGGTTAGTTATGGTAGTCGGATTGGCTTGCCATCTATCAGGTGACTGATTATCCATTGTTTGTGTCAAATTTGAGATTATTGCAGTCAGGATGCGGTGTTTTCTTCTTCCTTTTTTTTTTTTTTTTTTAAAAAAACATTAGTAACATTTCTTATTCGTTCTTTGACGTGTGAAGCGATACGATCGAACAGCAACTAGTTTAGGAAATTCTGTCAAAAAAGTTTCCAAGATACAAGTATCTGGACCTCAGCAGGTGTGGAGGCACCATCGATTATACAAAGATGAAAGCTTCTGCTTCCACTTCACCTTTCAAGGGTTGTAGTCGTTGGCTTCCAGCTACAGAAGGCCTCTACTTCCAAGTGCAACAGAAAATGGCTGAAAATTTGAGATCATTGTTTATACCATTATTTGGAACAATTACAACACCAGATAGCAGAATCTGGGTTAAATAAATGAGAAGGATGCCGCATCCTAACTTAAAGCCTTCGACAGTTGCTAAAATTCGCCCGAACCCTGGCCATTGATCACCTTAGCTACAATTCGATCGGCACCATCTGTCAAAATTCCGATTCCACCCATCTTCACAATTACAGGAACAAATTTTGCCCTTCAGAACATGGGGTCCGTCCCTTGCGTACTTGTCTACTTTGGCATGCTCTGTTTGTCAAGAAAGTCTGGTCTGATGTGAACAGGCCTTTGTTTGGTGCGAAACCAAAGCAGCAGCTTAATTACATCAGTAGTAAATGGACTAGGAGGGTTCATCGGCACCACCGTGTTAGGGTTTGTGTTACCCAAAGCTCAACTGCTTCAAACTTGATGCATATGGTGCATCTAAACTTGGGCCTGGCTCATTGTCCCACTGAAAGCCCTATGCAAACTGGATAGCAATAGAAATCTATGGTGTGATGGGGGCTTTATAGTGAGTTTCAGCTTTTTTAGAGGCATTTTTTTAACTAAGTTTTTTTCACAGAAAAGGGGCTATAACTTGAGACTTTTTAAAACCACTAGTGTGAGTTAACCTACAAGTTCATAAATAATTTTAACTGAATTTGAGCACGCCTAATTAGACTAGTTGATTTCCTTTAATCACTTTGTTGTATTTGAAGAATTTGATAAGTATATATAAAATCCAAACTAGTTATCACATATGTGAAGATATTTTAGGAAGTTTATTTTATATTATTTATTTAGATATTTATATAGTTTCTAAATAGGTATGTAAAGAACAAAAAGATTAGTATCTAACTTCATCACATTTTATTTAATTTGGAAACCTCTCACAGTAATAATCATTTGTTGACTCAACTGTTACAAAATAGTAAGATAAAGGCTTCAGATGACGAAGTATATAGTATATATATATAAACTGCATATGCTATAATTGCCTATTGACTTCCAAGTTTCTTCAAGCTTCAAATCAAGCAGTCCAACAGTTCAGCTCCTAACTTTAGCTGTTGACCACCCTACAATTTGCCCTAATCTCTCCTGCGTTACCGGTCAAAACATCAATTAAGTTAGCCCCCATCTTCACCATTGCTCCAGCAAACTTTCTCCTCCAATCGAAGGTACTCCTCGAATTCGAATTCACTTCACTTGCAGTTGCTGGGTTGGTCAAGAGAGTTTGATCTGATGTGAACAGGCCTGGGTTTGCTATGATATCTCTGTAGTAATTTACATCATTAATGGAAGTGCATTCTCACAAGACCAGCAGCTACCCCGCTGTTCTGATTGATACCATCTCTAACAGCATCTCTCACAATTGACTCAGCCCTTCTACATGAATTACTATAAAACCCTACAGTAGTATCAAATATGCTTGTAATAAATGGCCAGCTTCGAGGCAGCAATGTCTATCTTCCAAAATTAGAAGAAAGGACAGGTGAAGTAGTTCGTGACATATGGAATCACATATGGTTGCATGCTGATTCAGCCACATGCAAAAGAATTATGAGGTAATCAGACAAAGAAACCTAATGTTTTTGACTAGTTAGGTGCGATAAATTCAACTAAAGCGAACGAGAAAATTCAGCAAGAGTAGCTAAAGATATTAAAAAATGCTTTTGGGCCAAAACTTTCTAGAATTTTAAATCATTTAGATCAATTTTTTATTTAAAATTATCTTTTCTTCAATTATTTTTTTATTTGAAATTAGATCATTATGTTAGGTTTTCACCAATTCTAACATATAATACAAAAACATATAGATATTTTGATTTTTCCTTCAAAACTTATTTCTTTATCCTTGAATATTAAGATGTAAGCAATTAAAGAATATTTCAAAAGAAAAGCAATCATGAGCCGAACACACGCCACCTAAGACTTATTTCTAGCATATAATACCAAAACTTATTTCTTTACGTACGTGAGCCGAACACACGCCACCTAAGACTTAATATTATTGTGATTAATTTATATTTGTTTGCTTGCAGTCCTAACTAACTTTGAGTTATTTTAGGTAAAAGCGATCGAAAGCTTCAGGTTGAATACTTGAAAGTCCATAGTCCAGTAGATAAGTTCGATCTGACGTGGGCCAATCATGAGCCGTCATTAGTCCCACAAAGGAGCTAACGCGAACGCCATTTAATAAACAAAAGAGACTCCAAATGCCCAAGCTCTTCCATTCCCTCAAAAGCTCTCAAGTGCGAGCTTTTCATATGTCAACTAAAATTAAATTTAAAAAAGATAAATAAAAAATTATTAATAATCTTATATATGGTCTATTATTTTTTTAAAAAAGGCTAAATGTAAACTAAGTTTTTACTAAATATATTTGTCAAAGACTCAAAGAAATTACTGATATACTCACATGATCGTAATTATGACACATGTCTCGATATTCTATTTAATGATAATTTGGCTAAATTAATTCATCTCAAATAAAATAATTATGGCTAACCATTAATGGTCATCACAACTAGAAGAGACCTGGATAATCAATATTGACGAATGATTTGAATAAAAAAGATGTCATTCAATCTATTTAACAAATAGAAACAACATAAATTTAATAAAGATGTAACTTTTTGATATGCTCCTATCACATCATTTCACCAACTATGACTACATATATACCATTGGCAACCACCATCATCTAAAAGAATTCTAGACCTTCAAGTGGATGTTATAGGTGTTTTAACACAAAGAAATTAAGAGACCAATCTACTCTGTAATCCATGCGAATTAGTCACATTTCCACCTATACATAGGTTAACAAACCAAATATTATAGGTTTCACATTCTAAGCTAAATTAGTTATGCCATCAACTATTGTCAAAACTATGAGTGATTTGATTAAGGATTTGAGCATTATTAAAGACATAATTCACGTTCGAGATTCTTATACTGTAATATTTGATCTTTGTGCTTTATTAGATTGTGGTGCAACCTAATGTGAAATTATTAACTATATATTTATTAGGGATACAAGAAGTGTTTCACTTGATAACTAACTTCTTGTGTGCGTTTTAAAAATTATCTTTTCATCTAAGAAAACAATGGATGTGCAATATTTTTGTTTTGTCAGAAAAATGATATAAAATCATTCCTGTAACGTTATATAATGATTTAAGTTTTTGAATTAAAATAATTATTTTATATGATATCAGAACTTTAATGACTATTAATTATACCACGGTGAAAGCTTCTGCTTCCACTTCACCTTCACCTTCCAGAGTAGTAGTCGTTGGCTTCCAGCTACATAAGGCCTCTACTTGTAGTGCAACAGAAAACTGTGAGATCATTGTTTATACTATTATTTGGAATAATTACAGCACAAGAGAGCAGAATTCGGGTTAAATAAATGAGAAGAATGCCTCATCCTAATTTAAAGCTTCAAGAGCAATTTCTAAAATTCATCCCCAAATCTAGCCATTGATCACCCTGCAATTTGATCGAATCCCCTCAGCAACACCAGTCAAAACTCCAATTTCGCCCATCTTCACCATTGCAGGAACAAATTTGGCCCTCCAAAGCATAGGATCCCTTGCGCACTTATTTACTCGAATATTTTAAAATTTCTAGACAATTTTAATTGAATTTGAGCACACCTAATTAGAATAGTTGATTTACTTTAACCACAATCTTGTTGTATTTGAAGAGTTTGATATATATATATATATATATATTCCAAACTAGTCAGCACATAAGTGAAGATATTTAGGGATTTATTTTATATTATTTAAGGATTTTTGTAGTTTCTCAATAGGTAAGTAAAGAACAAAAAGATTAATAACTAACAACTTCATCCCATTTTATTATTTTGGAAACCTCTCCAAGTACAATCATTTGTTGAATCAACTATTACAAAATATATAGTAAGTAAGACGAAGGCCTTAAATGACAAAGTATATAGTCTATATATACGTCTGTTGACTTCAAGTCTTCAAGCTAGCTTCAAATAGAGTAGTCCAACAGTTTAGCTCCTAACTTTAGCTGTTGACCATCCTACAATTTGCCCTAATCTCTCCTGCGTTACCGGTCAAAACATCAAGTTGGCCCATCTTCACCATTGCTGCAGCAAACTTTCTCCTCCAACCTACGGGACTCCTTGAATTTGAATTCACTTCTCTTGCTGTTGCTGGGTTGGTCAAGAGAGTTTGATCTGATGTGAACAAGCCTCGGTTTGCTATGATATCTCTGTAGTAATTTACATCATTAATGGTGGGAGTCCTAGGGTCCATTGGCACCACCAAGTTAGGATCTGTACTATCTCGTGGGCAACTCTGCCTCAAACTGGCTGCATATGTAGCATCCAAGCTTGGGTCTTGGCTATTTGTTCCATTGAAGTTGTATAATCTATCACTGAAGGAAGTGCAGTGCGACCGACCAATGGTATGTGCTCCTGTTAACATGTAATAATTAGTAAGTTGTCAAGATTGATCATGTCTTAGAAGACTGATAGATTTTAAGTTTAATTATACTACCGGATAGGGTAACCATTTCTTCTTGTGATAAACCCTTGGCCGCAAATGTTTGAGTGAGTTGATCGACATTGAAGAAGGGGGAGGTAAGCTCGTAGTCTCCGAGGCTAGCGAAACTCTGCCATCTCTTCTTCCAGCCGGAACATCATAATCAATCCCTCCACTCTGCACAAAGAAACAAAGGGTTGGAAGTTGAAGCATGTTTACATGCTACTGTAATTTCCTAAGCAATCCATAACTGCTAAGCCAAACATTTCTACTTACTAAATCAAAGCTATCCCTTGCTGCAAATGCAAGAATATCAGCACATGAAACGACTCCTTGACATTCAGCTTCTAGTCTAGCCTTCGCATCGTCAACGACCTCAAAGCCTCGTAGACTAGGATTGTTGGCAGGAGATTCCTTTTCTGCTGTGTTTGATGGGGTGGAGTCAAGAAGCACAGATCCATCGCATCCCTAAATTAAAGGGCGGAAATGAAAAAAAGAAAACACATCTAACCAAGTCAACATATATTTATATACCTAAGCTTGTAGCGATAAGGACTAGCTAGTACACAAGCACGCATGCACACGCACTGACGCACACACAGTTTATTTGTTTCAAGGGTTGAAACATATGTTATATATAATCACATATATATTATCCTTTTTTCCTTCCTCTTTTCACCGAATCTCAGTGAATTAACGAAGAAAAAAACATGTGCCACGATCCCAAGAAACTAACAGCCCAATAGAACATGACAGAAAGAAATGCAAAGAAATACTTAGTTTTCTTCGATCGAGTTTGTGCTAGCTCAAGCTTACCCTAACAAAACAATCATGGAAGTGCATTCTCACAAGACCAGCAGCTACCCCTCTATTCCGATTGATACCATCTCTGACAGCGTCTCTCACAATTGACTCAGCCCTCCTACATGAATTCCTATAAAACCCTACTCGAAGCTGAGATTGGACACTTTGACAAAACCAAAGAACCACCCAACAAATTACAAATAGTTGAGATAGCTTCTTGGAACTCATCATTATATTCCCACAATTTTATAGTATCTATATACTTAAACCTTAATTCCTTGCTTGAAAAGCTTACATAATCAAGCCTATTTATAGTTCAAGAAAGGAAACATTATTCCACATTCACACATGTGAACTATTTTAAGCAATTTTTGGTGCAAGTTGAGGAGCCACTAGCCCACTAGGCTTAAATATTATGCTCGTAATTACATGGCCAGCTTCGAGGTAGCAGCGCATCTATCTTCCAAAATTAGAAGAAAGGACAAGTGAAGTAGTTTTCATGACATTTGATATCACATATGATTGCATGCTAATCCAGCCACACGCAAAAGAATTACGAGGTAATCAGACAAATAAGCCTAATGTTTTTGACTATTTGGGTGCAATAAATCCAACGAAAGTGAAGGAGAAAAAATCAGCAAGAATGGCTAAAGATATTGAAAAATTCTTTTGGGCTAAATGTTCAAAACCTTCCTTAGAATTTTAAGTTATTTGAGATTCAGTCATTCAACTTTTAGATTAATTTTTTTTTCAATTATTTTTATTTAAAACAATATTATCCTATTAGCTTTTTATTAATTCTAACATATAAGAATAATTCTTTTGAGCCATTAATTGTTTTTTTACTTTTCAATATTAAAAAGAAAGCAATTAAAAAATATTTAATAAAAATGCAAAACATCAATAATTTTTTATATATTTTTACTATTAGAAAAGTTAAATAATCAACTACGTACAAATCACGAGTACTTTTATCGTTATAATTGACGAAAACTTAATAAATAGATCTAATTTTAAATAAAAAATTATTAGCAAAAGATACAGTTCAAAATTAAAAGTTGAAGTATTGATTTTTAAATGACTTAAAGTTAAAAAAAAAAAAAAAATTGACCCATTTAATCAATTCTTTTATGAACTACCATAATATTGTATTTGAGTTTTCAAGGAATATCTTCAGAATACTTTAAAGGAACAGCTACTTAAAAAAAAAAAAGTGCTTTCTTAAGAATCCTATATTATCAAGCAATCCTATATTATTTTTAAAGAAAACAATTAATGGCTGTGCCCCTAGTTTGTTTTAAGAATATCAAGCAATCCTATCTGCAGAATACTTTTTATGAACTACGCTAATTTTATGTTATTTGTGATTCTTGTAATGTGATTGATCTTCGTGCTTTGTTAGACACATCGATCTTTGTGCTTTGTTAGATGTTCAGTTATTAACCATATATTTATTAGCAATAAAAGAAGTGTTTCCCTTGATAACTAACTACGTACGCATGTGATTTTTAAAAATTATCTTTTCATCAAAGAAAACAATGGTTGTGCCCCCAGTTTTGTTTTCCTTTTCCCCTCAAATTAACACTATAAAAAGTAGTGGATTTAACGATGGTTTAAACCGTCGCTAATTTAACTTAGCGACGATTTAGAGACGATCCAAAACCATCACTAAAAAGCTTCTTATTAATTTATTAGCGACGGTTCAAGGATTTCGTTACTAATTTAGAAGCGGTTTATCCATCATTAACAAATTTAAATTCATCACTAAAAAAAAAAAAGAAAAAAGGTCATCAAAATAGTTGAATTTAGGATGGTTTCTCAAAAATCGTCCATAAACCATCGCTAAATTTAGCTTGTATTTAGCAATGGTTTATCTAAATCATCGCTAATTTTGATCAAATTTAGCTACGGTTTTTGAACCGTTGCTTTTTTTTTTTTTTTTTACGATAGTTTTAATCAATTATTTCGTCGTTTACATGTCGCAAATAAGTGATATATCTCGTTTTTCTTTTCACAAATCCAATCCAATCCAACAACTATAATAATAGTATGAAATAGAATTATAAAAACTACGAATAATTTATAATATATATATTAAATCCAACTCAATCAAATATATATTCAAACACCAAATTATATTAAAAGTATTTTAATATTTCAGCAAATAAAAACATAATAGCAATAAAAAAAAGATAGTGTGACAAAGGAGGTACATGTTATACATGAGCATTTTCATTTGACGAATGATGGTCAGTCAAAGGATTGATGAAGAAATTATCTTTTTACATATTTAGTAACATTTGCTGCATCTATTGCATCATCTCATACTACTTCTGATTTTCCTACTCCAACCAAGTTTGGAAATGGGCGGTGGTATTTATGGTGCCTGCCATACCTAAACTTTGCAAGAAAGTGGGGAAGCATTTTCTCATGTCCATCACATGGAAATCTTCGTTCAGAGCCCATTCCAAGGTGTTGTCTCGAATAACTGACTTACCATATTAATTTTTTTTTTTTATAAGCATTAGTTCATAAGATTTACAACTGCCCAAGTATAACATTAGTTACCCTCCAAATACATTGCCGATATCGTAAAACCTGTGTAATAAGTAATGACGAATATTTTTCATATCACAACAACTGAAATTAATTTTCTCCTTTATTTAGAATTAAAAATTAAAAGATACAAGGAAAGGAAAGGACAATAAATACCAAACTTTGAAAGATTCCAATTTTCCTGCAATAATTTAGGGGACCCTGAATTGTCCCTAGGTTGTCAAAACTATGAGTGATTTGATAAAGGATTTAAGCATTATTAAAGACATAAACCCTGTTTGAGATTCTTGTATCTTTGTGCTTTATTAGATGTGCAACATTATTAATTATACAGAAGAATTCAAAACGAATATCAGTTGTTCAAACGAGTAAAACTATCCCGTTCACACCTATCTTCATTGGTATTAAAATCTTTTTTATGTGATAAACTAAAGAGGACTGCTGGTTTACTTTCTATACTGCCTTTTCCAATTTTTACCTTCTTCCTATTATGCTGACACATGGTTTATTTTTTTTTCATAAAAAAAAAAAAAAAAAACTTAAACCTACAACTGGCCAATAAAGAGTTGATGGCATGCTGTTTCGTCATTCTCAAAACGAAGGGAAAAATTGAAAGTTTACTCCACTTGTATGACACACTACAAGCCCAAGGTTTTCTTTTTTATTTTTGAATTGTTATATGTCCAACTTGTGCTTAATTTGTTTAGCTAATTATTGATTTTTTTTTCGATTACAAAGGAGAGGTTCGAATTATTAAAAATAATTAATAACATTAAGTACATATACAGGAAACAGATTTAAAACCATTGACTTTAAGCTTGGAAGCAGTTCAATAATTCAGCTCCCAACTCTAGCCAGCTAACTGTTGATGACCCTACAATTAGCCCGAATCTCTCCCGCATTACCGGTTAAGACATCAAGTTGGCTCATCTTCAGCATGGCAGCGGCAAATTTGATCTTCCAAAGCACCGGATTTCTTGCATTAGTATTCACTTGAGTTGCAGTTGCTGCATTTGTCAAGAGGGTATGGTCTGACGTGAACAGGCCTCGGTTTGCTAAGATATCAAGGTAGTAACCTGCATCAGTAGTGGCTGGACTACCAGGGTCCATTGGCACCACCAAGTTAGGATCTGTACTACCCTGTGGACACATCTGCTTCAACCTTGTTGCGTATGAGGCATCCAAGGTTGGGTCTTGGCTCATTGTTGCACTGAAGTTGTACAATCGATTGCTGAAGGAAGTGCAGTGTGAGCGACCAATGGTGTGTCCTCCTGTATATATATAAATCATCACATAGTTTATTATAGTTAACATTTTGGTAAGAATTAATCTTGTTTTGTCAGAATGAATAGGTAAAGTACGTACCGGAGAGGGTAACCATTTCTTCTTGTGAGAAACCCTTGTTTGCAAAATTTTGAGTGAGTTGGGCAACGTTAAATGTAGGAGGGGGTAAGTTTGTAAGAGTTTCTGAGGCTAGTGACACTCTGCCATCTCTTCTTCCTGCAGGAACATCATAGCCAAAACCTCCAGTCTGCACAAAGAATTAAGGGTCACATACCAAGTGTATATATATATATATATGTTTACCACTTTACAGAACCAAGTATATCCGCTTACTATCTCGATGCTGTCTCTTGCTGCAAACGCGAGAATATCAGCACATGAGACGATTCCTTTACATACGGTCTCTAGTCTAGCCTTTGCATTGTCAATGACTTCAAAGCCTCGAAGACTAGGGTTGTTGGCAGGAGAGTCTTTTTCTGCTGTGTTTGAGGGAGTGGAGTCAAGGAGGACAGATCCATCACAACCCTAAGTGTCCAGAAAAAGAAAAACATGCAATCAAGTTAGTCTCTAGTCAAATACTGTGTACATGCTTGCTTAGTGACAAGAACTAAAAAATATTTGTTAACTTATTCTGTTCTAGAGATTGGATCTAAATCATATATATATACGTTATAATGACATATTGTTATCCTTTTGTTTTCTTTGAAACATACTTCCAAGGTTCCTCTTTTTGCATAACCTCGCATTGAAGTAACAAAGAAGAAACTACATGAGATACTTTTCTAACTAAAAGGGGTAACTTCTTCACCTCTACTTACCCTAACAAAACAATCATGAAAGTGCATTCTAACAAGACCAGCAGCCACTCCTCTATCCTTAATGAAACCATCTCTAACTGCACTTTTGACAATGAACTCTGCCATCTTACATGAGCTTCTATAAAATCCTCGTTGAAGCTGAGAACGAACACTCTGAGTACAAAACAGGAAAACAACAAAGCAAACTATACATAGCTGGCTTAGCTTCTTGGAACTCATGATGTGATGTGATGTTTATCACCCTAGCTAGCTTGAAATATATCTATGAACTATGCATAAAACTACGTCTATATATCGTTGAAGAAATTAGGTATCATAATCTTTTATATTTATGCATGAATTATTCCATCCAATATATATATTGTCCGATGCAATTTTCGGTGCCAGATGAGCAGGCACTAGGCTGGAACGTCCTTGTTACATGATCAGCAAGAGATTATGATTGTCTTCCAAAAGTAAAAGAAAGGACAAGTGGTGTCAGTTTCATGACATTTGGAATCGGATATGATTCCCATTATAATATAATCCATATGCAACTGTTACGCGGCAATAAATCATAAAGAAATCAATCTGGTTTGACTTGAGGGCAAGAAGTGCAAATTCAGCAAGAGTTGTTAAGGATTGAATATCATTATACAGTTACGATCATGTATGTGAGAGTAACAGGAAGAAGAAAAGTACTCGCCTCAAAAATATTATTGTAATCTCTACATTCTGATTGCTTTGCGCGCAAGAAGGGTGCCTGACCAGTTCAAAGTTGGCAAAACAAAAAATAAGAGCGAGATAACTTGGATACAAATACAATTGGCATGCACGATCTATAAACAGTTGTCAAACATCATGAGCAATCCATAACACTTCACATAAATTACCAGCAATAAAAACTTCTTAGGGTTCTGATCATCTGACAAAAATCAAACTTAAAGTCTTAAACAGTACATTTCGAACGTTTTTTTTTAATAATAAAAAAGAGAATGATTGTGTGTCCTTTGGGATCCCCTGAATTTAATGCCTCAGCTGTTGAAATGCTATAAAGGGATTTATTCAGTGGATTTAAGAAATCGAAAGATGAAACTGAATCCCTCCTATCAGCCCTCACTACTGGATGCCAGCTGAGATCTATGTTTGCTACCAAGCAAAAGAGTAAACATAGATATTCAAGTTAGAAGTTGCCATTTGAAATAGAAAATGAAAGTTAAAAAAAGGGCTCACATATATTTACAAAATTCAAACAAGTCCATAAACGTCTCATATGATCAGAGAGCTATTAAACTCTCATTAGAGCAAGCCAATGTAAATATGTCTTGTCACACCATTTACATGTTATTGGAAAATAGAGATGAAATTATTTACAGATGAGGAAAACATTGAGCATCCCACTTGAGGATCAATATCCCTGCCCTGCAATCTCTTCCTTCAATACATGTTCCCAATCTGATGAACCGCTATCATACCAGCCAGCATGAGGCTGGTCTCCAAACCAATGGGTCTTGGCATCATCATTGACAAATAACCGGAACTCCTTCACAGTTGATTTGTCTACAGTAGAGTCAGCGGGATGATTTTGGATGGCAGGTTCCATATTTACATTCAAAATTCTGTCTTTCAATCCATCTTGACCCGTTAGAAAATCCCTTCTCAGATCAGTGTACCCGACATCATTGCTCTCTGGCTGATGCTCTTCCCTTTCCAAAGAACTTGAATAGTCATCTCTGTGTTTCAAGATGAGCAATCGGGCCATAACAGAAGCTTCAATATCTTCCGCATGGCTTGAAGTGCTTGACAAGGGAGAACCCTGGTTGGTTATATCTGGCTTGGCGCTATCTTTTGCTTCGTCAGTCAATTTACCAACCTTGTCCAGATCAGGAGAAAACTTGGAACTTGGCAATTTCTCCACTGCTGATGTATTCACAGAATTAGAGTTGTCAACCCGGCCTTTTAAAATGCAAAATCTGGCCATAACATCGTCTGCACGGCTACTCCTTCCAGCCATGGGAGAATCCTGGATGGTTATATGGGGCTTAGTGCTATCTTTTGTGTCATGTGCCAATTTCTCAACCTTGTTCAGATCAGGAGAAACCTTGGAACTTGACAATTTCTCCGTAGCTGTGGCATTCACAGAACTAGAGCTGTCAACCCGGCATTTTAAGATATGAAATCTGGCCATAACATCATCTGCATGGCTGCTAAAATTATCTGCATGACTGCTTGTTCCCGACATGGAAGAATCCTGGATCGATACATTGGGCTTAGTGCTATCTTTTGTGGCATGAGCCAATTTGTCAACCTGGTTCGGATCAGGAGAAAGCTTAGAACTTGATAATTTCTCCACGGCTGAAGTATTCACAGAATTAGAGTCATCAACCCGATCTTTTAAGATATGAAATCTGGCCATGACACTGTCTGAATGGCTGTTTCTGCTTAAGATTGATGAATCTGGAAAAGAAACATCTTGGACAGGGCTACCCTCATCGTCAGCAGGCAATATGTCAGATGAAACCTTACGCCTTGAAAGATTCTCCATGACCATAGAATTTTCTGCTACAACTGGGGCCACAGAAGAAAAATCTAAGAAGAAAACACATAAACACGTGCCTTTTGATTGGATAAATTAAAGTGACGATCAGAATAGGCAATAGGTTTACCGTTTGCTTTTTGTGAGTTGCCTTTCTCCATCTCAATCTTCATTCGATTAAAGCGAGTAATATAATTAACAGAACATAATGAAGCTTCTGCTTCAAGCCATAGATTCTTATACAGAAGAATTTGAGACTCTGATTCTTCTTTGATAGGAAAATTCTCGGCAAGAACCTTCTTTATAGCCTGCAAATCACGTTTGTACCCAAGAAATTTAGTTTTTTTCCTTCTCTTGTTCATCCTTTCATAGCAAGAAACATTTTAAGATTGGACTTCCTATAGAATAGATGCAATAGCAACAAAAAGAATACCTGGGTCATGTTATCATCTTTGACTGTATCTGCAGCACCCCCCATAGAAACCCAATTTGATTGTTTCTCCTCTCTCTTATCAGACACATTTTTATGCTCCCTCTCATCCTCAAAATGCTGAAACTCAAGTTGTCCCTGCAATATAACAACATCAACGTACTCAGGGCCATTCACATTTATGTCCTGAAATTTCATTATTCAGTGTAGTGACAAAGCATCAAAACATGCACAAGCAAGATTGATGGAGGCATAAGATTATCACATAGACAATGCCTATTGGTTGAGTTTTTTTAAGTGGACATCACAGATTCAACATCAGAAAGGAAAAGGTGTGAGATTGGATTGTGGAATGATCTTGCCACTAATAAAATTTGCTGATGTCCATGCATCACCCACCAACGAGAGGTCAACGTTTGTGTGTGATGGGAACTGGACTTTAAGTTTCACCATTGCACCAAGCAGTGCCATTGTTTAATACTTTTTCCTAATCCATAGCTTCTTCTCAGTTATATAAAAACCTAAGTTGTTTAGATGAATTTAAACAAAATAATGAAATACCTTGAAAGGCTCAGATAACTTTCCAGAAAATTGAGAAGTGGCTTGCTGAGGAATCAATGATTCTTGAGTTGAATTCTTCCTTTGCGAATTCTTCGATACACAGATATTAAGATTATTGATCACATCTTTAATAGCATCAAAGTCTTCATCCTTCAACTCAGACATGTCATTTGAAGAGTAAAATAGAAGCAATTCTGAGAGGTTGTGCATGGTATCAACAAGCGTTCGTGCATGCATCTTTGACAATGATTCTCCACCCTGTGATTGGGTGTGCTGAGCAGGAGCATGTTCTGATGAAGGTGGTGAACATAAGACCTGTTCTATAGCATGGAACGGTACATGAGATGAACAATCATCAGGGTCATCATTGATTTTCCTCCTAACATCTGCAACATCAGAATTTTTCTTAGATTGCCATCCATCTACTTCCAGACTTTGCTGCTTAGTTTGCAGAGGGGTAAAATCAGACAGGATACTTTCTTTCCTAGGTTCATCAATGACATCAGAAATTTGAGCTTCAGGGCAATAGCTTGGTTTCCTCTGGTAGGGTCCATATTTCCCAGCATCATCAATTTCTTCTCCAAATAACACATTAGCAACTAAAGGCTTCTTAAAAGAAGAGACTGGACGATGTTCCAGATTCTCATGATTGAGGGGCACAGAGATATTACTTTGTTTTTCAGGGCAGGCTTTTTCAGCATCATTAGTGGCGGTAGGGGAGATTTGAGGGCCTTGAGGATTCACGCCATTGCAAGCTTCTACCTTTTTTGGATTCTGTGGAGTCAACACCTCAGAAACTTCAAATGCAGATAGATGAGAAAGTGGAGCCCCTTTCCAGCATGGCGAGTCCAGAGCAGGGTTGTAATGATCCAAACTTTCAGAAGTATTCTCTACAGAACCAACAGCATCATGACCATCCATAGCCAAATTGAAGAAATCTAGATTTCTATGAGGAACTTTACTGTCCATTTTTCCTCTGAAAAGTTGATCCAAGAAATCCACAGAAATATTTTTGTTGCTTGGCAACTCTTCATTGCTTTTAGAGGAAATTTCTGCAAAGCAATCATCATTTCGTTTCAGATGAAAATTAATTTGGCTAGAATCATAGCAAACTTTGCCTCCTGAGCTAATAAATGGATTAGGCTCTTGCACAAAAGAGGGGTCATTGCCAGCAAAATCCTTCTCATCAACACCACTACCAGTATTCATATTTTTAAGTGAAAATGTATCTTGCCCTGGGGGTCTAATGACAACAGCAGGTGAAGGCTTCATCATCGGCATCCTATCATTTGGACTAGCATCACGCTTCCTTGAGGATTTGCCATATGAAGCGACATGTGGCATTTGATTGTTTGGAGAATTGACTACACTTGACGATGGTACCTGAGGATAGGCTTGTGGTGCTACTGAAGGGAATACCAATGATGGTGGTGTTGAATAATCAGTTTGCATGAACTTGGGCTTTTCACCAAGGAAGGCTTTATAATCCAGCGGTCCTGTGCTTGCAGACTCAGTGTGCGTTTGCCTACCAACCACGTCAATTCCAAGTGAAGTTTCTTCCCATTTGCTCATATCCTTGAACGAAGAAAACCCTGCAAGTAGTAGCGATTAAGGCTAGATAATCCTGGCTAAAAATGCTTATCTTACCATTTGTTTGCATACTTAAAAAACTGAACTTACTATGCAATTGATGCCAAAAATCATTCGATTTAGAAATAATTGCTATAATTAAGGATGGTTCAGGTAGATGGTAATGAAGAATCTCCTTAAAAGCTTCCAATGAAATAAGGGCAAAAGTAACCCCAAGGACACAGATTATGGCAGAGTAAAAAGAATATATTCCAAACCTTGTATGTAATATATTAAAAATTATGCCAGTGTTATTTACATCCCCTCAGTATAAAAATGACTCTTCAATACGGAATGGATATGTTATAAAGAGGCTTGTGCGTAGAAGCCTACTGCTTGCCCAGCAGAACAAGTGTGCTTTCAGAGAACATGGTTTAGAAGAATAGATACACAAAAGAGAGATAAGAATAAAATTACTCCACAATTAAAAAGAAAACTAGACAAAACGCATCTCTTCCATTGGATTTTCGAGAAAATCACCTTGTCACATTATACTCATCCTTCTTATACTTTGTCACTGGGCACGGAGACAATAACCAAATGGCTTGAAACAGAATAAGTACAGCACAATATAGAGCATCTGCTGTACTAGATTATGGGGTAAAGAATTCAGAATAGCACACAGTCTAATGTGGAGATAAAACTAAGAGACAATCAGTATCCAAGGTCTAGGCGTGAAGAATCGCGAGCACACTAGTTTGTAAAGACAACAAAATCACTAATGAGAATGAATAGACAAGAACAAAATGAAAGGTCCAAAATAGCATAAAAAGCATCTTTACTTAATTTTACACTTGCCGTACTAAGAAAAAAAAAGTCGTTTTTTTATTCTCAATAACAAAACATAATAATAAGGATACCTTGATTAATGAAATTCTCCTTCACACAAAAACCTCCATCAAGTTGCATTTTTTTGCTCTGATGCCCATCAGTAACTCCCTCCCACAAGCCACTCCAGTGTGTCGGATGATCCAAACCCACCAAGCTTTGAGGATAATCATCACGAGACGATCCATTAGACGTTCCAACATGAGAGGTAGCCAACAATTCATAACCAGATTGGTGGGGCATCTTCAAGGGAACATCGCTACCAATTGCTGGCGAAACGTATGATGACGGATAATAGGGTTCAGCTTCAACAATGCTAGGATTACTTTGACCATACAAAACAGCATCAGTTGAAGCCGAAACAAGAGGGTGGTTCATAGATGGCACATGGGAAGTTGGTGATGAGTATGCAAACGCATTTGCGGAAGGCAAGGAATCAAATTCCAGGTTTGTAATGGGGAAAAGATCAGGTCTAGAATTGGGACTGTGAGAGTTAGAGGTAACCCAATTGTGTAAAGAGGAATTCAAGCTAACAGGATAAGTGGGTTCAGTTAAATCCAAAAGGGGTTTTGCTACAGACCTATCCACAGTGAAAGGCGGGGCTGAAGCTGATAAATTTGAAGAGGAAGATGATCCACCTCCATTATTATAACCAAATGAAACCCCATAACTCATCATCTCATCAAGTCTATATCTTTATGTTGTGGTAACAAATAACTGTATAAAATGATCAAAACCCACAAAAATTCATGTCAAATTAAGAATCTTCAAAGTGATAATCAGGACTAGTAATCAAAGGAAATAACTATAATGATCAAGAACAAGAATTCTGCAAAAAACAATCAATATATAATAAAAACGATGAGAATCAGTAAATGGAAAAGCGAAAAAGAAAAAGAGAAAAGTTTTTACCAGAGAAGAAGACTGGTGCCAAGAGAGTCAGGGAAAGAGATATGGCAGTGTTCTCTCTCTCTCTCTCTCTCTCTCTCTCTCTGTCTTTTAGTCTTCACGTTCAAGGTTTTCCAAGGAACAAGGGTTATTTAATTTGTGCCGTGTTTGGATTGATGAAATAAGTCCCAACTACAAAGAAATCCGTGAACTATTATATATATCAATTCAGTACCTAAATTATTGATTCTTTCAATTTCACCACCAAAATCAGCTTTACAAACATTCAATCCCTTCAAAACCATGCCTTTCTTCAATTTTTTCATTCTCTTACGGTGGGAGAATAATTTCTTTAATTTTAGTGGTGTGTCTAAAAGTCCAATATCCTATTTTTTACTACCTATTAACAACTAATGTTAAAAGAAAACATTATGTTTTTCACATCCAAATACATTTAGAAAAATCCCAATTTAGGATGTGTTGGAATTGAGACTATTAAATATAAATATGTCACATTTATAATAAATTAATTATCAACTGATAAATGTCACATCAACAACAATTAGTCTGCGAGTCTTTTGCTTACCATCAAAGCCAACCATTAATGTCCAACTGACTGATTACTTAGGTCTTTTGCGTACCACATGGGGTAAGATACCGCCACCCCCAAATTTTTTTTATATATTTATGTTAGTCCTTAATCCTTATACATTTCCACTTTATATGTATAAGTAGCGAGGGGATTATCCACATATATGCAAATTACACGATATTTTAACTTTTTATTTATTGTAATTTTGAACCAACCAATCATTGGATTTAATTATATGTTCACATAAATCAACCAGATAATTGGAAAATGAATCTTTCTATAATATATGCATGATATTAATACACCATATTTGATATTTAATTAACTAAAAGGTTAGCATATATAATTTATGTAATAGATAATTAAATTGAATATATATATATATATATTAACATAAATTACCTTATTAATAAATATTTTTAATTTCTACAACGGGTACAAAAGAATTTAAATAGTGTTTATCTCTAATTAATTTGATATTAAAGAACTTATAACGTAATGATAGTGGTCTCTTGAAAGACTAAAATCAAATTTAAAAAAAAATTATACCAAACAGAAATAATTTTAATTTTTAATTTTAGTTTCAGTTTTTTTTAAAAAATTTTTATATAAAACTAAACTGATTCGATTTGATTTTAATCCAATAATCGAATACTGCTCGCTCTTAGGTCAAAGGTTAATTATAACCTTTTTATTTGTTGGGCTTACCGAACTGGACTCTGTGTATGTCCACTTGGACCAGAGTTGTAATAGCTCTTTTCATGGACCATTTCTAGGCCTGAAATTGGGCTATAATTCTCGTTTTCTGGGTGTTGTCCTAATTAACTAAAACTTGTTTCTTATGCTAAAAAGGAAAAGAAGAAACTATCCTTTCTTTTCTTGGTTTTTAGTCTGAAAATATTATCCATCGATTGAACTTTTGTATATCAAAATCAAATTCACCTCTCAAATTCGCTTAAAAAAAAATTTATATTGAAATAATGACTCAATAATGGCGCGATTGTTCAATCTTCAATCTGTTTTTATATATTTAATTGAGTCCATTTTATTCTTAAATACATATTAATTTTTTAATATATCTTTTAAGTAAGATTTTTTAGTTAAATTTATAAAATTAATCACATGATTTATAAATAAAATTCTTATGGATAAACTACATGACTAATTTTGTCTAAAACTCCTATAAAGATAATAAATTAGAAATTTAATAAATATTTAAAAATAAATTTGACTTCAAATTTGAAATATAAGAACAGGTTAAAGAATTATTTTGTTGTTATATAAGGATGGATTCAACCATTAATCTTTATCGATAAATGCAACCACCCATGTGCTCTTCATTTCTTGCTCTTTTATTTATTTATTTATTTTTGGTGAATTGCTTCATTCTCGTAAGAAGACTAACCCCACAAAGCAAACACAAACATAAATGTGCTACTTGTCCGTTCTCTAGCGTAGGGACGCAATAATGTTTCCAAAAAAAGAAAAAAAAATTATATTACAATTTTCTGGGCCACAAATTGATGTCTCTCTCATAAAAGGAGCTACCAAAATTCATAAAAGTTTGAAGCCTCATCATGATCAGGTAACAAAAACTACAAGACAGGAGGGGGAATGAATCTCCTAAATCAACGAATTTAATTCAAAACATAAATAAACGAACAAGAAGAGAGATAGCGACTAGCTAGGCATGAATCAGAAGTAAAGAATGAAAGAGCAGGAGCCTTGATCACGAGTAGCAGCAGCAGCAGAAGAAGAAGAAGGCAAACGAAAGTTCCTGAAACCTTGAACACCGTTAATGCTGCGTCTTGGTGGCAGCAGCCTCTCTGTAATTCTTGCCAGAGCCACCGTATATTCTTCCAATAGCTCCGCCATGATCGCCACCGTTATCATCTTGTTGATGAATGATGACCACCCTTCTCGTCTTTCTCTCTTTCGAGACTGAGACCACTGTTTATATATATGCTACTAAATTCTTGCCAAAGTAGTTAGCTATAGGTTTTCTTGTTGCTGTTCTTGTAAGTAAAAAAATAGATAAAGCTTCGAAGCTTTACCAAGCTGAGTTGTTGAGGTTGTGTTTGAAGGCAGGCAAAATGAAGCCAAATTTATAAACCAAAGGGAGTGGGATCTTTTGACCCAATATCTCTCCCTCTCTCACCTTTTCGCCATATTTTCGAACAAAATGTTTATACATCAAAACTAAGTTTTTCATTAATTTCAATAAATACGATTTTAATATTTAAAACTAATAACTTGATAAAAAAAAATTACCTAAAACCTAACAATTTGTCGGTAAAACTACGTTTTGTTTTTCCGATTAGTGAAACATTCACGTTAAGTATATATATAGAAAGACTTGCAAATATATTAATATAATATTACCATTATCTGTACAGTGGAAGGTCGGTACCATCAACCTTTTAGACTTTCTGCATGCTATTAATTAGCTACCTCACCTCTTACGCGTTAGATTGTGTTATTTTCCTCTTCTAAATCATTACTGTCACTACCGCATAAAGTTCCACGTTTTTTCTTAAATTCTCCACCACAAAAAAAAAAAAAAAAAATCATACGTTTTTCAAAGTAATTAAATGTCTGGTTTGAGATAAGATTTTTTTATAAAATATATTGTTTTTTACCCAAAAAGTGTTGTCTTTTTATTTATATTTTTTCTAGAATATTTGTTTATTTCGCCTATTTTTCTAAACTAAATTTAATTAATATCGTTTCTTCCCGTATAAGATTAATTTTAATAGCTAAATTTAAAACAAATAAAATATGTTTACATAACATAAAAAATACAATAAAAATAATTTAATTTCTATAATTTATTAAAAAAAATTAATTAGTCTAAAAAAATGAAGTTAAAATATTATTAAGTTAATTTTATCTTTAATTAAGTTAACAAATTAATTAGCAAATATTTTTAAAAAATGAATAAAATATGGCATTTTTAATATATTTTTATATTTTTAATTAAGTTAATTTTATTTTTAAACATATATTAAGTTTTCGACCTATCAACCAGAATTATTCACGCGATTTGCATATAACTAATTTTTATTTTAAATATTTTTGTAAATCAATCAAATAAAATGATTTTACGTGCAAATCATGTGACTAACTCCGATAATTTAGTCTAAAAATCGTATCAAAATAAGAAATTAATTAAATATTTAATGTATATCATAGATAAAATTTATTCAATTAAAATTTTAAAGACAAATCGAAAAATTATGCAATTTTAAAATAACAAATTGAATCATTAACCTAGAATGATTTAGGATAAGACGGTGATGACAACATTAACTGGAAATCACGTTTTTAAGGTACACTTTTCAAATGAAAGAGACTGAAAACAATGTAGCAACGTGGGGGGACCTGCAATGGCTTCCAAGAATGAATTTTGCGTGGCTTAGTTTGGCACAACATAGGACCCAGTTTGCTAACCACTCTTGGGTCACCCTCACAGGTTATAAAAAATGCCATCTAATTATATATAATTGATTTTCAAACTTTGAAAGTAGTATGATTATTATTACCTAACTGTTTATGTGGTCAAAAAAAAACTTTGCTAAAATATTATTTTTGTAATCTCCAAAAAAGCACATTAAAAAATATAATCAAAATGATTTTTTTCGAAATTATCCATCAGATTAAATATATATCTAAAGTTTTTTTTTATAATGAAAAATAGAAATAAAAACACCTACTAGCTAGCTAGCCAGGTAGCCCTACACAGTTAAGACGCATGCATCGACAAGCCACAGACTTTTATCACCTAACGTTGGTCAATGGCCTAACAGGCAGAAATTTGTTTGCCTCAAAATGGCCAATGAAATCATTGTTATCAGTCTAAATTCAAGGAACTGATGGAGAGACATGACAAGTTCCAAATCTCTACCAAACAAAGAGAAACATCTTCAAATATTTCTTGCAAGAACTAAGCACAAAGAGCCGTAATGCTTTAACAAGGCTGGCTAGGAAATTTATCTACAAACAAAAAGAAAAAATATATATAATAGCTAGCTGCAATTAACAACGTTTAATTTCTCTTTAGAAGGAATTGGTTCTTGTGAAGACTTTTTTCCATACTTTCCAACTTAAGGAACGAGTTAAAGAACGAGCCTTCATTAGAGTCAAAGAAGGAATATAATTATTAGAGTCTTTTGGTGGTGGTCGTCGTGATTCTTCATCTTCTTCCTCCACCATTTCAAGGTTGTCTTGGGGATTCCAAAAGCGAGCTTCCTTTCTTTTGCTCTTTATGGTCGCTAGTACATCATATTTGTTGCATATTCCCCACACAGTCACCTTTTGTTGATAATAATCTACATTTACGGAGTAAATTCCTGCCATTTCCATGGAAAATTAACACAAAGTTTCAAAAATTTTCTCATCATCATCTTGAATTTGAAATGGGTCTAATTAATTGAAGAAAAAAAAAGCACATGCATGATGGTTTCCCTTTATCACAAGACTGTATATCTAAACGGTAAGGGTATGACGGCGAAATTTTTTTAATCTCTCCTAGTTTCCTACAATAAATATAGTCATTAAGATCACTCCTATTAATTCCACTACAATAAAAAGATTTCACTCCGAAGATTTTTTTTTTTTTAATTTAGTAACATATGTTCAAGAATTTATTATAAATAAATTCATTATATTCCAATCAAAGAAAGAAAAAAAGATTGAAAAAAAAAGAAGAGAAAATTGAAGTCCACACAAACAACAACGAGGTGAATACTTTTGTGGCTATCCTAGTTTCTCCATGGAATGAATGTTTGACCAACTTAAGCACATAATTGGATGCAAAATTGCTTCTTCCATCAGCCCATGGATAATTAGTGGGTCTAAAATCCACCTCCTTCTCAACTTCACCAAATTGAGCCTACACCCAAGGCCCATCACTATAGTTATTTATTTATTTATTTATTTATTTTTTATGAATTCTATGAATTTATTGGATTATCTTTGCTAACCAATAAAAATGTAATTAAATTATAAGGACATCATTGTAATTCAATTATAAGGACATCATTCTCAAAAAAGAAAAAAGAGACAAGGATTGAGCATCAAGTTGGTAGTATATAGCATAATTAATAACATATCCATGTTCTAGCTATATATAGCTATAATTAATCAAATTAATTAAGCAATAATGTGGTGATATTATGAGTTTATGGGTTACCTTTGAAATGGGATAAGTTCTTCTTCATTTTCTTCTCACATCCATGGGAATAAAGAGGAACCATCATCTCCACATACTGTGCCTCAACATTCTTGCAATTGGAAGCTAGAACAATTTGCATGTCTGCCATTTGAAGAACCTCAAAAAATTACTTAACATCCAAAAGCTAAATTCAATTCTTTCTACTTGTTGCTTCTGAGCTAGTTGGCAGAACTTGGTTTGAACAAATTCATATATATAGATAGGATTTTAGATGAAGCTTGAAAGGCCTAGGATAATGTATATTCCTCGATTCCCTGGAAAAAGAAAGAAAGTAACCACTTTTCTTTTTAACTTTTTCTTTCTTCCTTTTCTTGCCATTTTCTTGAACTCGGTTGTCTAAGTTTAGTTTTGGAACTGTTCATGGTGGCTTGGAAGGTTTATTATTATATATGTTTAAAGATGTATGCTATGATTAGGATCACTAAACTGAGGAAAATTCTTGATTTTGGAGGCTGTGACATGGATTAGTGTAAAGATGTGTCAGCACTTAATTTTGTTAAATAGAAAAGTGTACTATTATATCTCTTTTTCTATGGAAGATGATGCATGCATGAGAGTTGAAACTGTCCCCGAGTTTTGGCTCCCATGTGAGTTGTTTTCCTTATCAAAGAAGCAATAATATTGCCTTTGAGATTAACAAAAACTTAACTGTGTTTTTTTATTTCATAATTTGATCATGCAGTTTCTAATTTTCTAAATTAAAGTAATCAGTACTCAAAAGAATCATCATTTTATACATGCTCTTTTTGGTGATACGACCATGCACATGCATGCATTCTTTGCTTCTCCTAACTTTAGTTCAATGTTTCCTTCCTGTTCAATCTCAAGAACATGGATTGCCTTACTCTCTAGCAAAGTGTCAAAATTAAGCAGAGCCCACACTTAAATTTTGCTCATAAAATTGTATCATTGTTCTTTATTGATCAGTACTAGCCATTGAAAATCTTGTATTGAATAATTAAGTTTAAGGAAAAATACACAAAAAAGAATTCACATAAATCAAGCCTCTAATCGTGCATGCAACTAATCAATTTACATCAAGACTAATTGCTAACATGCTTTTTTTCTTGATGTGAAGTCTACAATAACATGTTAACAGTTAAAAAAAAAAAAAAAATTGTTCTAGTACTTTTTAGAGCTAGCAAAAGATTTTTTGCATTCTACTTTCTTATCCGCACTCTTTATATCCTCTTTATGATTACCACACAAAAAAAGACAGTACTTGCTTTCAACAATGTATCATGGTGATTTAATAATTTTATGACTTTATAAATTAAACAAAGATTAAGATTAAATGACTCGTCAAAAGATTAGAAGAGGAATGAGTATTATAAGATTTCAAACTTACGATCGTTTGTTCATTAAGACTTTAATATCATGTCAAATGATAATCTTAATTAAAAATTTTAAACTATTAGGTGAAGCTTTATTATATGATTTATATTATTTTCTAACATATTCAAATTTTCTTTAACCGTTAAGTCATTGAAAATTAGTTTTTTAATTTTTAATTTGACATTTTTCTAATTTTAAAAAATCTGATTTCAAATAAAATAGTTAAAAAAATCAATTCAAAAATTAAAAAAAACTTCGAAAATTTTTGAACAGTTTAGCATTCAGAAAGCTTTAATCAGCAATGTCCTACTTTCTCTAAGCCGATCGTAATCAGCTAGTAATGAACTTCCAATGTTAATTCAATGGGTGTCTAGCTCACTCAAGTTCATATCAAAATCATTGCGTGACATTCGCATGCATCTACTTTATAGAGAAACTGAGAATGTAGGCATATGTTGATGAGGGGCGGCCATGCATATCGGTGACATTTGTGTATAAAAACAAAAAGACAAGTTAACAGGCAGTACTGTGATGGCATCATCACCGCCATTCTGTGCCACGTTAGTTTGTATCCCATTGATGTTGATTCTCTTGGCTTATTCAAGATGACTCAGATCTCATTTACAACAGTTACATACTTTGATCGAGGTCGACCAACCGTGCATGTGAAAACCCTAGCCCCACCTCTGGATTTTCAGCAAGGAATCTCAAACCTAAATCATTTTTATTAGGATGATCTTTCAACATGTGACAGCCACAAACATAAATTGCTAACTCTGCTACCAACTTTTACAGTCATTTTAGGATAAAAAGGGAACTTTTATCGTGAGTTTTCTTTTTGTGATCAAATACAACTTAATAGCTTTCTCATGAAGAACAATATATATATATATATACATATATATATATATACACCTTGCCGTTCTTTTGGATAAGCAGATAGGGACAGGGGTATTTTGTAAAAGTTGATTTCTTTTAGGCTTTAGCAATTTCTTTAAAACTCACAGTTGGCTCTCATATCAATCATCCGTCTGAGTAAATTGATTTCTTAACAACTGAGGAGTGACAGCAGCAAGGACTTGATATCAAGGGGTTAGCTCCTTCTGATAATTTCGGGTATGAGTTTTGATTGTTCTCTTTGATGGTCACTTGGATGCTTATATGATCGTTAACTTTAGTGACTCACGAGATTAGTCGAGGTGCGCATAAACCTAGCTCGGACACTCGCATTATAAAAAAAAAAATTGATTTCTTTTTTTAATTTTTCATAAATCTTAAATGTTCTATTGTTAGGGGAAAGTTACAACTTATTTATATATAATTAATATTATCTTCAAATTATGCGTAAAGAATGATGAAGATCCTTATATGCTTACATGTATAATAATATATTATGTTCCCAACTGAGTTTTGAAAAAATTATTCTGAAAAATTATTCTAATATCCGTTTAAATTTAAAATTTCAAAATTGAAAATCTCCATCTTAAATTTAGATACTTTATATTTTGAAGAGATCATGGTGCAGTTACAAGGCTGTCTAGTACCCCAAAAGATTACATATCATCTCTATTGATTCAAACTCTATCCCATTCTAGTATAGCGTTTGAATCAATTAAAAACCTTTTCTTCTCTATTTGTATGAATTGATACTATGACATTTCAACTATTCCTTCCCGACACCTTTAAAAGAAATTTCTAAATTTAACAATTATATTCTTATGTTATCTTATACAAAATTAACATTTTTTTAAAAAAATAATGATTTAATATGTACTTATACATAATAAGATAATTTGTTGATTTATCCATATTTTTTTCAATTAAGTTAATTTTATTTTTAAATTTTTAATCTATCTTTTTTATAAGATTTTCAAATTAAAACCACATGATTTGCACATTATTATTTTTTCAAAAATAGTTTTGTACATATTATATAACTAGTTTTAATGGTTCGGTATGAAAATTTTATCAAAAAAATATATCATAAATTTAAGGCATTAACTCTTTTTTCTTTTTCTTTTTTTAAAGAAAATATCCATGATTAAAAGCCTAATGACACAAAAGCTAGAAACATCATACATAATTTAGCAGAATCATAGACTACATGTATCATATTTAGAGATGACAGCATTTGTCATGGAGAAGAAGTGAACTTGCATGCATTAATTGTGTACTTGATTAATATGGTACACAAAATACAGCTGCAGGATGATCATTATACTTAATAATTACTATAAACATTATATTATACTTTATATGTAGAAATTGATTTGATTACAAGATCATGAAATGCAACATGCATTGGGATTCTCATCACTGAATAACTGAGGAGGTGGGATTCTCTCAATCACATAAAGTGGCTGATAATAATGCATCATCCGCTTCATGTTTTCCTCATCAATGTTGATTATGTCGATATTCTCTACTCCTTCCTCCTTCCCTTCATCTTCTTTCTTCTCATTTTTTTCAGGCTTGTCACCACCTTCTTCTGCTGGTTTTTCCGCTTCTTTCTTTTCTTCAGCTGGTTTTGCTTCTTCTGCTGGCTTCTCTTCTTCCTTTGCTGGTTCAGGTTCAGGCTCAGGTTGGGGCACTATCCTGGCTTGCTTTTTGGTGCGTCTATAGACATATTCCACTAGTTTGTTTGCTTCCATTGTCCCTGTCACTGTCACTTTGCTTGTGCTCAAGTCTGTCGCTGCTGTTTGCACTCCTGTAATATTATATTTAATAGAGATCAAACACTTCAAAAAATTAAGGAAAATCATCATACTATATTGAATCAAAACAGCACAATCCATTAATATTAGCTTCTTTTTTTTCTATCAAACATGAACAAATATTTAATTCTAAGTGCAACCAATTTTTCTCTCTCTTTTTTTATTTGTTTGTTTGTTAATTTTCTAAAGCGAAAAAAGTGTTTTGGCCTACCCTAGGAAACATGTTTAGACAAGGTTCTTTTAGTACACATTTACAGCAGGGATGGCATGGATTTGAGGCCCAAAATTCTCTATATATCCAAATAAATGCAATCCGACATCAGAAAGTGCCCACCTTTAGCTTCTGGGTGGGCACCCTGTAACCCAAATGTATGGGATTCCCTTGTCATATTCTTTCATGCAGTTGGTCAGTCACACTCAAGTTGTTGTTAGCTAGGTATCCTACTCCCTTCAAGAAACAGTATCTAAGAACCATATAATTAATTTGAAGTAATTTAATTTATGATAGGAACCAAATTAATAGAAATAATTCACTTATGGAAAACAAGAAAGCACTAAACAAAGATCATGATCCTGTTTAATTAATTAACATGTATGTATCAAATTAATGCAAAAGAGAACTAATTAAGTAGTTAATTAATTAATTAATTACCTCTCATTTTGAGAATCTTTTTCTTAAGTTGATCAGCACAGGCCTCACAGTGCATGTTTATATCAAGCTCCACAGTCGTTAATCCACTAACCTGGAAGTATCAACAAAAAAAAAAAAAAAAAAAAACATACATAGTTTTAGTTTTCCATAAGCAACAAAAATGTATGACAATTAGTGATCATAATTATTAAAATTAGATGCTGGCAATCAGACCTGTGAAGCAACAACTTGGGGCATTGGTTCACCCTCATTTTCAGGTAATGGAGACAAAACTTTAGCTCTTCTCTTTGTTTTCTTCATGATTTTATTACACACAACCTGAGGTTCCACTATTCCCTTTATGGTCACTTGGTTTTGTGCCATATCTATCACAACACCCTCCACACCTGGAGTTAATTAACAACCAAACTGTGTTAGAATTCATTAATTTCTAGCTTTACTTCGCTAAATTGTGAGAGAGATAGAGACCTCTAATCTTCTTGATGGACCTCCCAATCTTCTTGGCACATCCCACGCAATGCAAGTCCACAAACAACACAAATGGAGATGGTGGCTTCGGTTCTTCCTTCTTTTCTTCCTCTGCTGATTTCTCTTCTTTCTTCTCCTCTACATTTTCTTCCTTCTTCTCCTCTGCCTTAGCCTCTACCTTGGCTTGTTCCTATCCATTAATAACCAAACATTATCACATTAATGAACAAAACGCCGGCCCAAAACTTTTCAATAACCCAAAGACAATGCATGAAGCATGCAAAATATATTTTTCATGATGACTCACCTGCTTAGCTTCTTCACCCATTTGCACTAACAACTAAAGCAAACTTATCGATTCTTCTGAAAATGAGGTGATAAATCAATCAACGCAAGCACTAAACAAGAAAAATGGGATAAGAGAAAGGCCTTGATAATTAAGAGAAGCTAAGGATCACAGTTATATACGTATAGGAGTGACTGAGAGACGGAGAGTACTAGTAATGTATTGATGGACGGTGGGGTTTAATAACACAAAGTATGGCAGCGGGATTCCAAGGCACATGGAATGCCACTAAATGCACAAAGAAACTAAAGCTTAATTCATTACAATATTATTTCCTTTTGAATTCTTTTAAACCTCCAAGGCTGATCAAAAGGTGGAGGAAGGGGGGAAAGCAGTGAAGTAGGGTTGGCAAATTTATAGAGAAAATAAGGGCAGATGAATTGGTGAGACCAAGGAGGGGAGAAAGTAGGAAAAGAGAGGTAAGCTTGGTAGACGTTGAAAAGGACGACACAAAATTCGAAGAGCACCGACTGCTGTGATGAGTCAGCTTGTAACTTTCATGACAAAGCGAGATCATGTGTCAGTTTTATGTGCAATGATGGGACATCAACCTGGATTACTAGTTTCTACGTGTTACATTTTGGATCTCGTGTACAAACTCATACCACTTTAATTTGATTTAACTTCTTGTTAGTTTTTGCATTAATCATGCACTTGATTAGTGTGATTAATGGATTGGTTTGTCTCGTTCTAAACTACCATGTGATTATTAACTTTGTCTTTCCCTCGAATTCCTTTTTGTTGCATGAAGATGATTTTTTTTTCATTGGATTCATAGATAGAATTAGATTAGACAAGATAAGAGGAAGCCAAACGTAACAAAACTAATCATGAAGAATGTAAATTAAGAGTAGAATATGAAATATAATACAATCTATTCTTATAAATTTTGTTTGATTTAAACTAACGATTGTGTGTCTAATTAGATTTTTTAATGAAGCAATACTCACGTCTTGAAGATTTCAAATTTTTTTATTATTATATAAGGGAAAGAACTACATTTATTGTGTAGTCCAATAAATGAGTATTCGATAAATAAATAATTACTTTACTAATTCTATCAACCCATGAATAAATTAAAAGGGAAATAATTTACTTTCAAACTAAAGAAATCACTCAAATTTAATTGTTATCGTATTAATGGAAATCAATCGTTTTGCTAGCTAGATGATGCGTCTTGAAGATGTCAAACAAAATATATTATTAGATAGCGCATTGACAAGGACCTAGCTATAGAATCTCTTCATAAAGTGTCCTCATACAACAATTTTTAGCATGAACTTTCTAAACACATTAGGGTTTAAGCAAAGTAATTTCTTTCCCATTCTCATATAAAGTGGAGATGTATGAAACGTGGGAGTTCGAAAATGTGATCAGTTTTGCGTGTAAAGATGTCTACACATATCAAGCAAGTTCTCTAAAGTCGATAAATCACATGGACATGGTCTACTTGGTGCCCTTACCGAAAAAACGTGGGATTGATTTGGTATCTTTCACCTTTCCATCAAAATCAAAGACTACTACCAGCCTTTTGGTTCAACAAAAAAGATGGATTTTTAGCACCAACGTAGAAAGATGTGACCCAACTTACTGAAAGATGTGACCCAACTTACTTCGGTTAATACGTGTAAATGACTTGGCATGGGACACCGAACTCAAGTCCCTACCTTGAAATGTGTTTAAGGATTTGGTCTATCTCAACCACTAAAATTTCCACAGACAAACGAATTTCGGCCAACCAACAAATTTATCAATCTGATGCAAATTTGAAAGTCCGGCCAAAAAGAAGCTAGCCCATCAAGAATTATACAGCTTGACTACGTTTGATTATTTTAATTAGCAAAGGTAGAGATTATGTGGCTGACAATTATATGTTGCTTAAAGGGGTAGGCTGATTATGATGCTGTGATTTGATTAATTTACACTACTTTCCAGATTAAAGAAAGAGATTAAACATGAGAGAGCCAAAACCATTCAGAATTTTATACGCATGGGATGGCTGCTTAACGACGAAATCTAACCAAATTAAGGGGTTGGTCCCAGCTAGTAAATGTTGTGGTGGGTGGTTAGTAGAATCTAGATTATTGCTTAGCTTAAGGAATCATAAACTCAACCACTCAATACTTTCGCTGCCTCTACCTAATTTCACAAGATTTTCCTATTCATAATTTGCATTAGCTTTGTCTTCCTAAATCTATCAATCAAAATGCAGATTGATTGACAAATTAAGCTAGATTTGATTAAGGAAAACGTTCAAGAGTATCAAAGGTTAACAAAATAAATCCAAGCAAATTTGTTTGAAAGAAGAGACTCTAATCGTTTAAACAAGTGTCTCGAGTTCAAATCTTTATATATACACAAAAAACCTTTTCGATAATTATATTCGTCTCATATGACTGATCGAATAACGAGTGATTATTCTTAGTTCTTAGATCCGAAATACTTTAGGGATTCAAAAAAAAAAAAAAAAGAAACTTAACAAAATAAATGAATAATACATCATTATTTTCCTGGGACTAATATTTAAACAATTAAAAATATGAGTTCTATTATTGAATAATTATTCTTTGTTTTGATTGTCTAAATTTATGTTTTCAATAGCTATTATTGTTTCCTCAATATTATGAGTGTTGAAGTTTGGTAAGAAAAACCTGGGCGGTAACAGAACTTGATAGAAGATAGATTATTGGGGCTATATATGGATGGATAGATTTCAGGACCACAATAGGCGCAGTAAAAGATCGGTTTTGGCATACATAGGTTATAGCCTATAACTATGTAGGCAATTAGTTACTTTCAAAACCAACATTTCTTTTGAATTCATTCAACTATATGGGTAGAATTCATTTTTTTCTTTAGTGATAAAAGAATACTAATTAGATGTGTAAAGATAGGTGATGATGATGGAATCTCTCACTGGTTCTGTTGGATATAGATAAGAAATTGAGTCTGCATTCTAGAAACTCTCAAATGAAGTCCATGAGATCCACAAGTTCGAACTACTGAAAAAATTTGCATGGAAAAGTCATTCGGATTGTACTCAAAAGAGTTCATGCATAAAGATAAACACCGCTTTAACCCAAAAGTTTAAATTGAAAGGTCATAACTCGATTTTGTATATAAACGCCTCAAACTTCTTCTTCTTTTTCAATGTAAACAGTTATTACTCACATGAAAACCCAACTCGAACCATTTCCTGTAACAAAAAGAAAAAAAGATAAAAAGAGAGAGAGAGAGAGAGAGATTCTTAAGTGGAGGTGGGTGATCTGCAGCAATATTTTGTTATGTTTTATACCATGAAATCTTGTTTAGTGTTTATAACCAAATGTTGCTATTTTACATGCTGCCCTACTTGATGTATCTGCCTACTAAAATGATATGGATCTCCACCTATCTCACATGTGACCATTTCCATCTCGTGGCCCCCCTGTATGTTAGAAGATGTTAGAACAGGTTTCTATGTCTGCCTGTATGAGAATAATGACATTGCTGCTGGGTTCAATGCACATTGCACAAGCACTAGTGGGAGCAGTAGTGAAATTATTTGTGCATTATGAAAGTTGTGATATGATCATAAAAAGCCATAAAAGATGAAAGACAAGACACCGACAACGGTATCGAGACTCCTTGCCTTTGGCTTGGAACATTTCGACCAGAATGTAGCTTCTTAAACTCAGCAGTGTTCTGCTAGCTTGGCCTCAACTCCTGTGCTGCAAGGAAGAGAATGCAGGTTGGGACTCGGAACCCATGCCGGCAGTGGGAAGGACATCCCCTTGTAAAATAGGCTGAAAGTGGACACCCAAGTTAGCATAGAATTTCGACAACCATGCTATCGATTACCTGGATAGGCATTTTGAAGCAACTTTTGGCGATTCGAGAAATCTGCAGAGCAGATCATGGGGGACTATATCCAGGTTGATCACTCCAGAAGCTACTTCAGAAAAGGTAAGTGCCTTAACCAGAAACTGGATGCTGATCCAGAATCAAAGTTTAATTACTAGATAAAAAGACTTCAAAATATGGATTGCCATTCACTTATTCATAATCTTCCAGGCTTTTATGGTGTCTCATTATCTACTGTGCAGCCAATTGTTGATGCTCATTCAGATAAATCTCTGCTAGGGCAGTGTGCAATGCTGCCCCAATGGGAAGAACATCCTCATCAAGAAAGAAGTAAGGTGAGTGTGGTGAGTGAATTGAACCCACGTTTTCGTTTCTAATTCCAATGCTGAACATGACTCCAGGAACCAGTTCTTGATAGAAGGCAAAGTCCTCACCTGCCATCACCTTTTGGCCCATCTTTGCATTATCAGGACCAAAAAGTAGTTGATTAACTCTCTCAACATGCAAATTCAATTTCTCATCATTCACAGTAGCAGGTGCTTCTACTTTTATGTCTACGTAAGCATGACATCTATGCACAGCTGCCTGGCCTTCAACAACCTACAAGCAGTTCCAATTGTGTGAGCACAATTCACCAACCATTAGCTACTTCGCAGATTTTGTCATTCAGTTGGCAGTTAGTAGCTTGGGTTACGATTTATGAAAAATTAAGTTCAAGATAATGGAGCCCAATGCATAGAATGGAAACTTATACTAATAACTAAAATTCCTATTCCCTCTTAAGATTATCATATTAGGGAAGCCAAGCATGAACCTCGGAGCAGCCTTTTTTGACAGTGATTTGCAGGCTTGAAAACATATTAAATTCTGTTTTATACATATTTTCACTGCGAGAGGAAAATATGCCCACATGAAAACATTAAGGGGATTGCAAGCACAAAAAATGAAAAATTGATCACTTGATATGATTCCTCCCACCAAATTGAAAGCGAAAGTGAAAAGGTTAAGTAATGCTCTTTACCTCTTTCAACCTCTGCTGGAGTTGATGTAAGCCCTCAGTCGTAAGACTCCTCAAAGTGCCACCAAATTCAAAATATGGTGGAATTACATTCAAGGCAGTCCCCCCTCTGACATAAGTGACAGATAAAACCTTCAGCCAAAAACAAAACATCAGTCATAAGACATGGTCGATGCTTCACGGTTTACTCCTAAACAACTGTAGGATGTCAAAAGGAAAAGCAAAATAATAGCAGAGGGACTTCCTGTAGAAGTCAGGAAGAATTACAATTATAATCACCAATGGATCCAAAGTCTAGACAGTGTTTTAATAGAATTAGATGGACAAAAATTGAGAAGAGGAAGACAGAGAATAAAATGCATGAATATTTCAAGGTGAGCTAATCAGGGGAACTCTCTGTTTTTTTTTTTATGGTTCATCTAGATTCCTGCATTAATTGTCATGCTATGGAAAAATGAAAGCTACTAGAAGACATGGATAACAGGGGCATGCCTGACTTTGGAGGGGATCAAGTTCTCTCGAGATGAGCTGTTGCAATGACAAAATTGCAAATGATGCAGCGAGTAGTGGATCCACAGCATTATGGGGTGTTGCAGCATGCCCACCTTTGCCTTCTATTTTGACTTGAAAGACGGATACAGCAGCTAAGACTGGCCCTGGCAAGGATGCTACGGTTCCAGTGGGTAGTTGGCAATCAATGTGCATTCCAAATATGGCTTCGGCATCACCAAGCGCACCTTCTTTTATCATATGAGATGCACCAGCACCTCCCTCCTCTGCTGGCTGGAAAAGAAGTCTCACAGTTCCCTTTAGAACCAATAAAAGGGAGTTATTCAATACTTGCAATGGCCAGAAAAACACAAAGTCCCATGGACACATGGCTACTTGTCAAAGAAAATAAAAAAGGAAGTAACAAACCAAAGAGAATTTTAGTTTGGGGGGTTTTGCAGGGGGGCAGCGGTGGGGTGGGTTTGTTGGTGTGGGGGGTTGGGGGCTGTTGAATTGGCACATCAAACAATTTTCTAGAACAGATGCTATATCATTGCTAAGGACAAGAACTGAATCAAATTTGTTATTTTTCTGGACTCTCGGATAAAACCAATATAACTGATACATATTGTTCAGCACAAAGAGAACTAGCTGATCTTAGTTAATATATAAAGAATCAGGCATTGAGAAAAATTATCAAGGTACTGAGATTAGATCTTTCCAGCTTCATCAAAAGACATCCCTTGCAAGCATTGAATGAGTGGATTACGAACCATTTAATCTTTCCACAAAAACTTCTTGTCGTAATCCCACTCAAAGTAGGCAAAGGCACAACTATAATTAATAAGCAAGAACCATTCCACTTCTGAAATCACTAACATGAGGAAATATGTTCCTTACTGCAAACAATCACAACCTTAATTGTTCTTTCAACTACATCAAAAAGCATAACAAATCAGATATGAACAGGAAGGCATCACCACCACCATTAGAAGGATAAAAAACACAACTCTAAACCCCATTTCACAAGAAACAAAAAACAAACTAACCTTAAGCAGATGTTTCCTTTCATTAAGCAACTTAGCAGCACCAAGGAGCATAGTGGTATGTGCATCATGACCACACCCATGCATTTTCCCATCAACTTTACTCTTATGCTCCCACTCCACAAGCTCCTGCACACCAAAAAAAAACAAAACACAATCACAACCAATAAAACAAAAAGCTGCAATCTTTAAACCAAAAAAAGAGGTAAAAAAAGAACATTACTTGCAAGGGAAGTGCATCCATGTCAGCCCGAAGAGCAACAACAGGAGGTGAACCAGAGCCAATTTGAGCAACAATCCCAGTTTTGGCAAGTGGGTATGCATAAGAAATGCCAAGTTTATCAAGTTCACTTCTAATAAGAGCACTGGTGTTGTGTTCTTCAAATTTGAGTTCTGGTTTCTCATGTATATGTCTCCTAATGATTATTAACCAGTCTTTGTCTTGTTGGGCTGAGCTTAGAATCTGTTCCCTATAGGTTTGTGGATCAAAAGTAGCCTGAGTTGAATCAAAACAGATAAGTAATGAAAGAAGAATTTGGCATGCTATCAAATTCAAAAAAGTTCCCATCTTTAGCACCACCGTGTTTCAATTCCCAAAGTTTCATACAGTAAAAGATTAGTGAACGACAACAAGAGAGTTCAAGTCAAACCAAAAATATTTGGGAGTTGGGGGCATTGACGAATGGCAATGAAAACGACAACATAACCACTGACCGGTAGATAGTAATCAGGGTAATTAATTTTTTATTGTTTTGGTTGTTCAAATATGTGGTGATGGAACAGTTGGCTAGCGCGTGGACTCATAGCTAAAAGAGTGGTCCGGAGTTTCGAACCTCTCTTGTCCCATGAAGTTTAGTTTTTTAACATTTCAGAATTCTTTTTATTAAAAAAAAAAAAAGCACCGTACATAATCTATATGTTGCAGCTCAGGTTTTTCCTTCCATGTACAAGAATTATCATTGTTGTAGCCTCCACTAAGTAAACTATGTTGCTATCCACAAATAGCTAGGGCAAGGAAAATTTCCTATGTCTTCCTTTAGGGTTACCCAAGTACTCCAGTGTCCTCACACACACCAACTGACAAATAGATCACATCATAATAATACTATCTGTTGTGTCCCTAAGCTAACCCAGAGGCCTTCTACTTCGGACCTGCAAATCTTGGACTTTGGCTTGTTTGAGCTTGGAATGCACAAGGCACCAAGCTTGAAGCAGAAAATACAACCAGAATGTACAGTGGAGGTGATTTCACAACTAATGATTACGCAAAACATCAAATTCTGGAGTATTTGATTAAGAGAAGCAAACTATCTATACAGTAATTTCCTTAAATATTCATACTCCAAAAGATCTTTATACACAATATCAGAAATATCTCAACATAGTCATGAAATTAAGCCTTCATAGACAAGATATACAAAAAAGCTCGAACCAGTAAAATGTCTAATATAAACAGCTAGGACTCGGTCTGAGCATATACTGAAGTCACTAAACTAACTGGGATAATATACACGAATAGAGGCCTACAAAATCTATCCCATAAACTTAATTAGTAATCCCACCCCGGAAAAACAAAAGAAAACTAAACGGGGAAAACCGAACAGAGATGAGGTCCCTATGCAGTATCGAGAATGAGGCATCTCCATCTGCTCACTAAGACTGCAAACAAAACAGCTAAGACGGCTACCCTAAACATAGTAACCGGCCAGATGGAGTTACGAGTACAAGAAGCCTTCGAGACTATAGATGAAACCTTGCCGAGTATAGAACGATTATTCTTCACATCTGTTCCGTTGTTAGGCATCAGTTCTTCAGAAAATTTTATGTTTTCACTAACTTCAACAAGGGAAGGTTTCTGCTGTTCATCCATGGCATTAGTATCACCACCGCAAACAGTAGTATCCAGTTCTGTAACTTTGACCTCCTGCACATGGCAATTCAATGACACTCAAAATAAACATTTAGGTAAACTAAGGCTTTTTACTCGGCATCATTTTACAGACTTCTCACCTTTGTCGTAATAGGCTCAGATTCAACTTCTTGTCCAGACCTCAAATCCCCCGAATTTGTGCTGAACTGAACTTGGAGCTTACGCTGCAGACATAATCTTCTCGATGCATCACCTTGTTGTATAATGTTCCTACCTAATCGTTGATTTTGTGGATTGCGAGGCCTAATCCTGATTGCTGCCCAATCAATGTCACTCCCAGCAACTTGATTCGTATTGTTGCTTACTTCATTAAGATTATTGAACTGGTCTGTGCCAGAAATTGATGCTAAACTTTGCTGTTCGTTGGATTCATTTTGTAACGGACCCAGATTCGTCTGCTGCAGTTGCGCATTACCATCAAAAAACAGAGTTGAAGGAGGCTCCTGGTCAATGTTATCCTCAGGAAAGACAGTGCCCTGAAACTCTTGCTCGATCTGTAATAAGATGGAACGTGTATGGTTAAATTATTTCTAAAGGGAATAAATTTATCTGCCAAAATGAAATTTAAATAATTCCTAAAGCCAAGTAATATACAGAAGTACTGTGGTAGTTTCCACTCACCATAATTGGTGCCAGTTCAACATTTGAACCACTGTAAGATCCAGAGTCCTTAACAAAGACCACATTCTTAACGCTCTCACGTGGAATTGATGACATGTTCTGAATGCTGGACTCCTTGTATGAGAACTCATCTGGCTGCTTGAATATGGAATCAATGAATTCAGAGGTATAGGCATCTGTTTCATTTGCAACAGTGTGAAATTGCAGTCCTCTATTACTGCTGCATTCACTGTTCCTGGGATAAACCATGGAGGAAGATCCCACTGCTGCTTGGAAATGCACATGCAGTGGTGAAAAGAGTGTGTAATCTAGAGGCTCAGGCGGGGAGTCAAACATCCAATTCAGGGCTTCTTCCAGCCCCATATCCTGCTAAAAAAAGCATAAAAGAAAAATAATTAATTACTTAATAGCATTTTTCTTAAACAGAAAAGGTCATACATATTAAAATTGACTTCCAATTCACCTCAGAAGCACATAGATCAGCAGATTGATCTCCTTCTTCGCAAACACCGAAGTTGTTGCTTTGAAATTCCACTGGCGCTACAACCTCGGAAGTTGTCATATTTGCCGGAGATGCTTCAGTCAGTGGTTGATCAGATTGTGCAACTTCCGGAGATGAAACAGTAGCTTCAGCTTCATCGCAGTTCGGACTTTCAATGCGGTCATCTTGTTTCTTAAACAAACGACAAAGGACAAAGGCACTCTGCATTGCATAAGATTGTCCAATTTAATTAAGATTAAACTAGAAATAGCTATATAGAAATCAAGCAAGCACAAAGGGTTTTAAAACATTTTTTATAATGAACATCATTTGCAAACTGAGCAAACATAAAGTTCGACTACCATTAACATTTTAAATTTTAAGCACTAAACAAAGTCAATCAATCACTGCAGCATCGCTTTAAGCAGCAAAAGAGACCAATCAATCAATCAAACAATCGACAAAGCACCTAAATGCAACCTACATTGCATGAAATAAACTAACACTAAGAAGGCCAAACAACTTCACCAACATTAACCTAGTAATAGCTAGGTAAGAAATTGAGCAACCATAACAAAAACTATCCAAAACGACCATTATTTCGAAATTGATCAAGCACAAACTGTCACACCTGCTAAAATTTAAGCAGCAAAATGAGATGAATCAATCAATGCATCAAAGCTCTAAACTTTACTGCAAAAGCATAAAACCAACAACCAAAAACTGATCTTACCTGGCCAGGTTTAGTGCCATCAAGCTCCTCTTCGGTAGCCCGATACTCGTGCATAACCCAATTAGTTCTATTCCCCTTAGGAGCACGGCCAGTATAAAAAACAAGCGTCTTCTTCATTCCAATCAAATTACGCCCAGACTTTATCCTCCTATCCTTACCAGTTGCCTTCCAATACCCAGCATTTGTAGCTCTATTCTGCCTTGAACCGTTCGGATACTTCCTGTCTAATGGGCAGAAAAAAAACCACTCTAGATCCTTTGTCTTTATTATCGACAACTCTACACCAACAACAGAAAAACAAAAACAAAACCCACAATTCAATATTCAATATTGGATTCAAAAAACATAAATAGAGAAAAAGAGGTAAGAAGAACCCCCACCCCCCCCCCCCCCCCCCACACACACACACACACAGAGTTTTGGACTATTTAAGTACCTGGTAAGTCCCAAGGTTCCCATTTGCAGACATCAATTTCACGAATAACTTTAACTCCATCATCATTACCATTGATTTTGAGTCTTAAGTAGAAATCAACTAGTTCTTCATCTGATGGTCTAAATCTAAAGCCTAAAGGGAGTGAATTCCAGTTCAAAGACAAAACAGCCATGGTTTTTCGGAGAAACAAAAAAAAACCCAAGAAAGCCTACAAAGAGAAGAAGAGAAGGAGAGATTCAGTTTGGCATGGATTTCAAAGGTTCCATTAATGGCTTTTGCTTTCTAGATTTCAACGATAGGAAACTACAGAGAAAGTGATGGCCTTTTTGTAGCCAAAGCGAAAGGACCCAACCCAACGCGTTTAAAAAGAAAAATAAAATAAAATAAAAAATACGACCCCCTGGTATATTCCGCGTATGAGATTTTCTTAATGTTTTACTCTTGGTCTTTTCCCTTATTTACCATAAATGCCATCAAAATGTGCAGGATATAGTAGGGGTAGATTAGGGAATGAAAAATGTGTCGGAGGGTTTTAATCAAGATAAAGAGGAGGATTATGTTGGCTGGCGAATGATATGTTGACAAATCAGATGGATGGCTTAAGCATATACAGTGGGGTCCACGCGTGTGACGTGTGCGATTGGAAAAGGAGACAGGTGTCAGAAGTAAAACAAAGGAGAAGAAGATGCCATGAAACATCGTCCCTAACTCCCACAGGATCACGCGGGCTTTTATTTATTTATTTTAATTGTTAATGTTTTTAAGGATTTATGGTTAGACATATCCTTATATAATAACATAATTCATTAATTTGTTTTTACATGTTTAATTAATTTTATTTATTATTAAATATACTTTAAATTTTTAATATATTATTTTAGTATTATTTTAAGTCAAATTAATCAAATAATTTTTACATAATTATTTTTTATTTTTAAAATATTTTTACGAGTCGGATAAAATAAACAAAAACTTTATATAAATTATGAGATAAACTCCGATGATTTAGTCTAAGAGTTTTAGTAGAATAATATATTAAAAACTTAACGTATTGATTCAATTTAATATATATTTTCATCATCGTGAATGAAGATGAAAATGTTGAATTCATTAGACTATCCATTAGGAATTGTTTCAATTGCTAAAAGGAAAATCCATTCAACCCATGGTTTTGGAATTTTGTCCTTCCATGTTCCATATTTACCGTATAGAAGTATAGCATAATATTTGCTCACATGCGGAAACGACCGTTACAATTTAAATATTTTATTATTATTATTTGACTAAATAAGCATCTTGTATTGAAATTGTAGTCTAAAACCATGACTTAGTAGTTATAGGTTTCATATCATATTTTATTAAGAGGATTAATATATTTATCCTTATTAAATCGGAATTCAGGATTAATAATTCAATTTATTCTTACCCAATATCAAGATAATTATTTTATTTGTTTTTATATGTTTAATTAAGTTAATTTTATTTTTAAATATATGGTAAGGTTTTGATCTATCTTTTGCATAGATTTTCAAACTGAACAACCAGATTTATTTATTTATATAATTTTGCATATAATTAATTTTTAATTTTAAAATATTCTTACCAAGTTAGTCAAATAGAAGAATTTTATATGCAAATCGTGTAATTAATTCTGTCAAGTTAAATTAAAAATATGATCATAATGATATATTAGACACTTAATATTTATTCAAAAAATAAAATCGATTCAATTAGAGATACAAAAACAAATTAAAAATTTATCTTATAATACAAAGACAGATTAAACCATTAATTTATTAAACTATTGATAAAAAATATTTTAAATTTTAATCTTGCGTAAGTATAGTAAGAGTTCTTAAAAATATGTTACTATATTTTATGTGGAATTAAACTTATCTATAAACATGTTTATCCAAAACACATGCTTCTATAAATTTTATTTTACATAATCATTGTAATATTTGATTGAACCAACCAAGATTTGGGGGAAACTTTTCGTTTTTTGAATCGGACAGACATTTGATTTCAATCAAAATGTTATAAACATCTTATCACACTGGTCCAAACATGAATGCAATGTCTCTGGAAGGTATCTTAGGATTTACCAAGTTTTTTGTTTTATGTTTTGCTTATTTAGTTATCATGTTCTTTTTTTCTTTTTTCTTTTTTTCCTTTTCATTTGTCGTTTCAACCATATCAAAGGATCATAAAACATGGGTGAGGTGAAGTGCGGTTGTTGAAAGAAGATAGTGATTGATGTGACCATTTAGACATGATCGGTCAATTCAAAATGCAACATGGCCATTGCTTGTCGCCCTTTTGATAACTTTTATTTTTAATTTTAGCACCATTTTTCTTTTTATGAATGATGAAATATTCTGTCATTAAATCTATTATTTCGTTAGTATATTTTATCAAGTTAGCAAAATAAATATCTTACTATAACGATAATTTATTCATCACTAATTTTATAACAAATGGTAATTTTCATCAATATATGTCATTATATTAGCGACGAAAGTATTTTCTATAACGACAATTTATCCATCACTAATTTTAAGATAGATAATAACTTTTGTTACTAAAATTATTATCGACAAGTGTTTTACTTATATGTTGATTTCGTCGCTAAAAAAAATATTGACGGAATTTATAGTACCTTCTGTCACTACAAAACTTAATTTTTTTTATAGCATTGATACACAACTCTTACCTTAAGCCTGCTTGTGTTAAATATGTTGCTTTAATTTAAATAATTTTATATTTTTGGACCAATATAACAAATTCGAGATAATCATCCAGAATTCTATGACCGAAGAATAGGTACACTTTGTCATCTGGACATGAAACTAACAGTAGCAGTATGTGAAAGTTACTAATACCGTGACAAAATCATAATGAGAAAGTAAATATTTTTCATAAGAGTACTTGATTAATTGTTTGTTCCGATTCTAAGATCTCATTTTTCTAGTTTTTTTCTCTTCCCCATCGCAGTCCAGCACTGTAGTAAGCTTGAAGACCAAGAAATTTTGTAGGTGTGTGTGAAAGCTTAGACTTCATCGTCTTCTAACAGGACACGAACTCTTCCACTGAGCTGATGTTGTTCGCATTTGAAGCTGAAAGAGACTTGGAGTACCCTTTAGGAAAAGAAACAGTGTTTAGGATGGGGTAGGAACTTGCCGAGACCCTACCATTGCTTTTTTCTTTTCTAAAAGCCTTCAATCAGCAATTAATATCCAAGTAAGGTGATCCATCGATCCAAAAATTAATGAAGATGAGAATGCCAAGTCTCTCACGCAATCAACAAAAGGATAAAATTTTCAATCAAGACAAGAATCAAATGCAATTCTCTTCGTAACAGATGGTATCTATTACTACCCCATTTGTTCCTATGCTTAGTGGAATCATTTCATAATTAAAATTTATCGCTTTTTGGATTAGGGTTTTGGATGCCCTTGATTATTCCTTGAGAAAAGTTGCTTAGGTAGTGGAATTGTAAAGGTAGTCAACTTGCACTGATCTCCTCTTTTTAGCTTTTGCATGTCCGTACATGTTTGCACCTTTTTTTTTCGTAGTAAAAACAGAAGAAGAAAGAGAAAAGAAGCCTTAATATAATCATTTCGTTCACGATAATAGCTTATTTTCGGTCCTCAAGTTGTGCAAAAAGTAATGGATTATTATATACTTCTCATCCCACCTTTCGAGCAAGACCCATAAGGTCACTTCTTTTTAGTTTTTTTTTACCACTTTCCCCTGCTTTATGGTAGTGAGGTCTAGCATCATCTATTATTTTTATATAAACCTTTTCAAATGGCCATTAAATTATGGGTTCATGAAGATGCCAAAAAGTTTGATTCTAGCTTTATAGCAACATGCTATCAATTTGATAGTCTAAATCCTCTTTGAAGAAAGATTTAAAATTGCGAAGCCTCATGCTCTTGCTGTTCATGTGTAGTAAATGCTTTTTTTTTTCCCCTTAATATGTTTCAACTGTAGTTGCTTGAGACATCCATTATATGAGGAAAACAGATATATGGATTGATTAGATTCTGATACTTATCTCTGTACAATTTGATTGACTACTACCACTATTTGTATAAACAATCTATTAGAGGCAGGGCAAAACTCTGTTATCTGAACATTCTTGTATGTCTATATATCCTAAAATGTGGTTCGAATGGTAGCAGCACTGTACTGTTGCATTCACCAAAATCTACAAAAAGTGATGCCTGCCTACTTCTATCCACAAGTGTAAATTTCCACCTCTGCTCTTTTTCGTTTATTCTCTTAGTCATCTTCACCTTGTTCCTATAATCATTGTCAATGAGCTAGCAAATGAAGCAGAACCTGGAATCCGAAAAAGAGACTGGCGTAGCTAGTCCAGTCTATCAATGCCCAACAGGAGTCCTTGAATATTCAAATGGAGCAAGTCCATTGGAGAGTTTGCTGCAACATGGTACCCTCTCAACACTTGACATTCTAATTTGGAACAAGAATTGATCTGCCATTGCTCCATCTGAAAGAGAATTCGAAGCCTCTCTCTAGATAATTCTTGTGCATGTTTTAGCACACTCTCCGACAACCTGTTCGCGGAGCCTCATTTTCTGCTCATTCATTCTGTTCTAAAATCTTGTGCCTATTTTTCATTTGAGGACTGTCATGATATCAACTGTGAGCATGGCATTCGTATTGGTGAGAACACCACTGTGAGTCGGGCATGATCGGAAAGAAAGTAGTTTTCAGGCCACATTCCTTTCTCTACTTCAGGAGGGAAGAGCACAGCATTCTCCACACTAAAACCAATGGTTTGCTCTTCTCTACCCTTAGGATCATCGTCTTGGATCTCATCATCTTTCAGCTCTGACCATTTAGGATTCCAAATTCGCTGCTGCAGTTCCAACATTCCACAAAGTGAGCTTCATTGTTCAAAAAATTATTCTAGAAGTATTAATGCTGAATTTGTTTCTTTTCTGAAACCAATTTATGGTAAAAGATATGGCAAGCCATGTTGCAGCCATACAACTTTTGCTTTAAGATCACCAAATACATGGAATCCATTCGTCAGGTTCAGAAAAATAACATAAAAAAAATGTTGGCAAAAGTACAACTAATTTGTGGATTGCAAACAATCTTTTAATCTAAGCTCAGGCAATGCGGATTGCCGATCCTGGTGCTAGAAGAGCTTGCTGAAAAGGAAGTTGCATTACCAAAACAAAGTTAGGGGAAATCAGAGTATCCTGATGGCTTGAGTAGATGATAGATAAAGCAAACATTCACTTTTAAGTTGGTTACCTGAAATTCTTTATAATCAAGAACACCATTTCCATCAATGTCTGCCTGCAACCACAGATCCTTCGTTTCTTCATCGCTGAGTCCATAACAATGGCCGGTTAAATTAAGCTGCAGAATTAAGAAGCAGTATTATGTTTGAGTCATCAAAGAAAAGAATATAATCATTTTACTTAGGAATGAGAATGATAGGAGATGACACAGTACCTGCCGAAGAGCTTCACAGAAGCCTGTGTAGGTAATGCAGTCACTATTAGTATCAGCCTTTAGAATGGCAAAGGCATCTTCTTCGGTCAGGGAAGCTCTCCGTAGTAGATACTGAAATGGAAAAATCTACAGTCAGAGACAGAAACTCAAGGATTGTTTTCTCCTTTAATCTTCCAAGTGCCATAACTGTAAAATTGAATTTTTTAATTCCATGTTCCCAGCATTAGGAAACAAATGCAGACTGCAAAAAGTATTCGAGTTCACTCAAAAACAACCTGCTTGGTAACCAATTTCTATGGGAATTGGCAATAAAATTAGAAGATGCATATTGCCACTAAATAACCATATCGCATGAATTGGAAAAAGAAATTTAAAGGGATTTAATCAATCAACTGCATACTGACAATACTAACAATCCACAACTAGTTCTGCAACAAACACTGCAGATGCTACGAAGGATATTGAGAATTAGTTCTATTGATCTCAACAATCATTTATTCATTGAAGAGGAGAAGAAAACAAAGGCTACTTCTCTAGCTTAAACTAGACCTGCATTACAAATTCGATTCAACTGAACACAGTCTAAATCCAAGGTGGAGCATAAAAAGATGAAATGATGTCCTCTAAGTGATCAATTTTTCAGTTAGAGAAGGTGTAGGTTACAAAAAAGTGTACATATGAGGTCCAACTATAAAGAAGTGTTATGAAGGTGCTAATAGGGAGTTCTAGGTTAATGTTGAAGAATAGAAATCTGACCTTGAACATGCCAAATACTGCTTCGCTCCAACTTGTTTTTAGTAGCTTTCGGTATCTATTGGGATTGAGAAGCCATATAAAATCCACACCACAAATATTTCCGCGATGGTTAAGGTGGCTAACCCACTGCGTACAAAAAATGAAGGGAATGAGAAAAATTATACAGCAAATGTAACCACTAATATGATTTCTCGCAGAAGAAAATGAATTATTACTAGTTGAAACATGAAAATAAGGACCTTGTGAGCATCTGCATCAGTGTACTGATGAGCAGTATCATATGAGGATACAAAGCCTTGTGATCTGAGGAACTTGTAAACATGCCCACGTTTGCTCCCATTCCAGTCACTGTGAAAGTATAAAGTAAACAGTACAGTCCAATGAGTGTGATTCTGTGAATGGCATAGAATCTAGCAAGTAGGGATATTTTTTTTTCCCCCTTTTCTTGAGAAATCTAGCAAGGATTAAAAATATAGGACCATGTGAGTACCCGCAAAGCATAATCGGAGTCGGGTTAAGCTTGTTTTCTTTCTGATAAGATTCCACATATTGCAGGATTTTGTAGGCCTGTTGTTACAATCATGTAACACAGGTGAAAACTAAGAATTACATGAAGTTACTTGAAAAGAGAAAAAAAGATGGAAATGTATTTACCTGATTCAATCTTACAAGAGACAAGCTTGAATCATGAGGAAATAACAAGTGGGTGTTGACAATGAGAATTTCTTGTCGAGTGTCATTGTTCTGGCATGGTGAATCAGGGGTATCTAATTCAACATGTAACAACTGAGCAACTCGATCCCCACAATCGTTGAACAACAATTCCCTATGGTTTATAACCCTGAAATAGTCCTTGCGCACGGCGATCAGTAGGCCTGAGATATCATACAATGACACAGTATGTTCAAAAGGATTCAACAAAAACTTAAAACCCTTTATTTCTATTTTTGAAGACATGGAAGAATTCGTCTAAAGATAGTAAAACAAAACAGCAAGCAGAGGAATGGGTCAAAGTTGCAAGCTTTCTTCCTATTTTTCCAAATTGGAGACACCAAACAATTAAGCAATGGTGATTGTACAAACGATGAAACCAGAAACATCAAATGCAGATCAAATTAGCAAATTCAATATCTAGAACATGGCCTATAATGTTTGGTTACAAAAAGTCCAATGGCATCCAAAACTTGTATCAAAGTTTCAATCTTGAGTAAACTACGAAATAACAGAATTCATTAAAAAAGAAATCAGATTTGAATGTAAACAAAAGGGATTCTAGAGAAAATTATAATATGAGAAATGAAGAAGAAAGGTACCTACCATCACCCCGGTTGTTGGTACGGGCAAGCTTGAAATTAAGATAGCCAGCATTACCTAATCTCTTCTCATACATGTTGACCAACTCTTCATTTCCCACCCAGAATTCCTACACCAATTGAACCCCATTTGAAACGATCAACAAACAAGTAAAAAAACAACAAAATAATCATTAAAAACAATGAAAAGACAGAGACAGAGAGGGAGAGGGGGAGAGAGGAACCTGAAGACAAATAATGGAAGATCTTTCACGCAACAAAGAATCCAAAATCTTCTGGTTTCTAACAAGCCAATAGGCTCTACAATCACTTTCACGTAAATTCTGATCCTTACATTTGTTAATATTCAAACGTTTGTAGATAGGTGCAAGAATGTTAAACGTTGTACAAGTTATACAAGGTTGTTGCCGATGATCTCTCATCGACATTGATGATGATATTGCATAACTCCCTATTCTATTAATCCTTCTTGATCTTCTTTCCTTTCTCATTTCTTATTCTCAATAACTTTTATTATTTTCAAATTTCCAAATACACAAATGATCAAATTTTGAGGCACCCCACCAAACAAAAATGAGAAAAGATGGGAAGTGGGGTGGTGGCAGGGGAGGAGGGAAGGCTAGTTTTGAAGGAAAAAGTTGAGGAGGCAGTAGTGGAGGCCGTTTTGAAGCAGCCAATTAAAGAGGAAAGGCAGCAACAAAACCACCACCAACAGCACCGACAAGAAGAAGAATAAAAAGAAATTGTGAAAATGGTGGTGCGTTGTGATTTTAGGAAAGGCAACGCAACCTCTTGTCTTCATGTATGACCGAGGCCTTCGCTTTATATACTCTACGCAATTTGAAGTAAATTATAAATTAGTCCCTATCGTTTTAAAAAAAATTAATTAATCCCTTTTGTTTTAAAAACTAATTATTTAATCTATTACGTTCTAATTCTGTCAATAACTTAATATTTTCGTCAGTTTTTTGTTACGGTGATGATAAAATGTTCTTACTACAGTATATTTTTTATTTTCAAATTATTTTTTATGTGTTATTTCTCTTTTTTATATAATTTTTCGCCACTGAGAAATCTTTGATCTCTCACTCTCTTCTCCATCAAATTTCAAACCACTACAACTTCAACCTCTAATCTCTTCTTACCAATCATCCATAAAGTCTCATGCAACAATCATTCTGAAACTAAAATCTCACTTCAAAATTTCATATTTAAGATTAGTTTTGAAATAACATCGACTTGCAACTATTTATTAATTTTTTGCTCGCATCGACTTATATATTCGATTAGTCTTGAAATAGCAACCATTTGTTATTTATTTTCACAATTACATTTCAACAAAATATGAAGTCAACAAACTAGGAGGGCTCAATCTTCACTTGGGAACTTCATGATGACCAAATGAAAGTAATCCAGCAATGGCAATGACCATTAGTAAGAATTTTTTTATAAACACGAGAGTCAATAGAAATCTCTGAAGCATAATTGTTCCACACTATGACTAAATCAATATATAAATATAATCAAATTGATTGATGTATTATGAAATGGATGGATGCTAAGAGTCCAATCGAAAAAAATAAAAAATTGATGCTATGAGTGTGTCCATATACGAGATGATACGTGTTCATTGATGCCAAATTGTCGGGCTAAAGCCCACCTTATCCTATTGTTTAGTGGAAAGAAATATCCAAATCTAGACTTTTTTTTTTGCCTTAAAAAGCCGATTGCTTTGCTTGTCTTTTGATGATATTTCTTAATTCATTGTTTGTCTCCTTACAACTAACGGCAATGTTTTTTCCTTTTTTTTTTTTCCTTTAGCTTTTTCATTTTATTACTATTCAATCATGTTGTGGGTTGTTCAATTATTATGTCTAAGAGCATCTTCAACGATACTTTTTATTTTTAGTTAGTATTTTTAATATGAATAAAGAAGCATCATTAATTATATAGATTGAAGATTAATATCCTCTCTAACGCTACTCTCTACTTAACTTTTTATTTTGACAAAATCTATAAAACCTGTAGAGACTATTGGTGAAGAGGTTGAGTGAGCATAAGAAATAGTAATTTTTATTAATGAAATATAAAATAAAGAGTCATTTAGACTTCTACAGTATTTGAGAGCAAAGACACTCTCTATATTAATTTTAAACACAAAAATTATGATAAAAAGAAGCATTGGAGATGAAATTTGGATCAAATTTTTTTATTATAAAGAAAAATCTTAATATAAAGAGAACATTTCAGATGCTCTAACATTGATTAATTTTGGTGTTGCTTCTCTTTAGTACTCATAGAACATTATCGAAATGTGCATAACATTTTGAGAGGTGAACAAAGCAAGAAGAGGAATAAATGTAAGATAGGGCCAATAGATTTTTGAGGAATATCAAATATGTGGGGATATAATGAAGAAAAAAATAAGCAAGTTGTAAATCGATTTTTTTGGACCTCACATAACTTTTATCTTTCTAGCCGAAAGTTGTGGAGAGGCCTCTGTCACAAAGAGAACAAATAATTAATGCTCATCCACTAGGTCATTAGTGTTTATTCGTTTATGCTCTTCTAGAATTGTGGCTTGTTGGAAATAGAATAATATGCGTTCAGATCAGTATTTTGGGAATTTAATAATTTTTTTTAATGCAGTCGATATAAAAAAAATGTATTCTTAAAACTATTTGAAAAAAATTAATTTCAATTGACGTAAACCTTGATTAAAAAATAATCTTGTTGTCGAATAAAAAAATATTCATATGCATATAATTCCTTAGTTTTAAGTCAAGGTGTAAGATTAAGTACATACTAGTATCATACCTATGTTATGTCATGGGCATATGCATATGCATATGCATATAATATTCATATGCATATAATTCCTTTTAACAGTATTGAAATTGGTTGTACATTGATTTTATGTAATAAAACCCTCGGAATTCAATTTTTTTTTTATTGACAATCCTAAGTTTTTTTTTTTTTTGTTATCTAATTGAAGAGTTTTATTTTTATGTTTTTGTTGTTTCGGACCTTAATGTCGTTACGTAAGCATACGTGATAAGCTTCTAACTAATGACAAATTGTCACTCGTCATAATGACTTAAATTAGGTGATTGAATTAGTGACGTAACAAGTCGTCATCGGTTAAAACTTATAACATTGCTTATGTAACAAGTTATCATTAGCTAGAATTTAAAATAACAACAATACAAAAATAGAACTCTTAAATTGTATTGTATTAAAAAAAAATTAGGATTTTAATAAAAAAATTCAAATTATACAAGTATTAGTAAAACTCATACGTAAAACAATCCCGTTTGCTATCTGATACAATACCTCATCTAAACATTGTGGACCAAAATTGAGTACCCATCTACCATTCACATGGATTCTCATATGGCAGGGCAGGCAGATATGAGCCTATCATCACAGAATATGCAGGATTGCATTAATCATCCGGGCTGCTCTACAGTATTAATGTTCTTTGGCTAGCCAACGAATGAACGTCAGAACAACACACATGGAAACCCATTGCTCAATGTCTCACCATGCATCATGATTCATGCACTCATCAAATTAATTCCACGCTCCAACTATTGCAAAATCCCTTCAATGCATCTGTTAACACATGACTCCTATATATATATAGTGTTAGGTGATGGTTTTGGCCCTAACTGGTACTTTACTCATTAGTCCTGAGTATAGGAGCCATGGATGTTGGGGAAGAAAGCAAAACGAAGCCATTGAGGAAGAGAAGCTCTTACAGGATTAGCCTTTCGGCTAGCTTACCGGAAGATGTTTGTGGTGATTTCTCAGGTGGTACTATCTGTGCAGTTAAGCTCTCTATGGATCCATTTTCAGACATGAGAGCTTCAGTAATAGAGATGATTCAGAATGTGGGTGTTCATGATTGGGATGAAATGGAAGAGTTGGTCTACTGTTACATTGCCCTCAACTCTCCAGACCTTCACGACATCATTGCAAATGCATTTCTTAGTTTGTGTTGCTATTAGAAGTTCTTTTTATGTTGTCTGCAACATAATCCCTAAAAACGGTGCATCTAGTCTAGTTCTTTTTAGTCCAGTACTCCTGGAAGATTGAGAATGTACATTTCTATGTGTAGATGGAGAAGTTATTATCACAGATTAGATCTCAGCCAGCAAGATAGGGGAAAGAAAATCCCTTGATTTGTTTCCCACATTGTAATAATAATAAAGTATCTATTCTCAATTTAGGATCCTAATGAAAATGCAGGATCTTCATGGCTTTAAAGCATCCTTAACAGAACCCAATTCTATATCTTCAGTAGTGTTAGTAGGAGAAGTACTAACTGGCTTCACTGAAGCCATTGGCTGAATCCTTGTAGGTTCAACTGTTATGGCAGCTTCTGCAGTTTCTATACTTGGCTTAGGCATGTCTTTCATCTCCTTCCTTTTTCCCAACAAAAAGGAGTACAAACCAATTATTATCAAAACCATGCCCAACAATCTGCAATCATGTTAAATTCAATTTAATTAGCAACAATGCAGGTTAGAAACAGTAAATTAAGTGCATGGAAGAAAAAGGAGTTCACATACATGCCAACTGTGATCTCTGCACCAAGTATGAGAGCTTCCAAAATGGCCACAAATATGAGTGTCAATGGATTGAACATAGGTGGATAAGAAGGGCCTCTTCTTACAACTGCCCAACAAATCAAGCAAAATGTTGCAGCTGTAGCCAATGCTCCCTGCAAAAATTAAATCCCATTTGTTATCTTACGACAAAGATCATTGCCGATGCCAGTCCACATCCACTCTATGACTGGCCCCTCGAGAGGTATTGTTAGTCTTTCGAAAAGAGAAGTGATATCTTGAGCTTATAAGCTTCCCAATGGGTATCATGATCATCAATCACAATTAATCATCACCTGAAATTAACTTCTAGGTATAGTAGTAGCTAGTAAATCGGTCAATAAGCTTAATTAGCATACCGAGTAGATGATGGTAACTAGTTGCAGGTTCCAACCTAGCTTCCAAGCAGCCTTACTTCTGTCTAAGCATACACCTACTACTGCTGATTGCAAGGAGGCCAAGATGCAACTGATCATGGTTGTATGATATTTGAATGGGAACACTTTGATCAACTTGGCCTATGAAAGACATAAATAATTTGCTGAACCACATAGCTATGGTTAATTAAGCCCAGATATTGGAACTTGGAAGTACTAATACATTGATACAAACCTGCAATGTGTACCATATAGAATAGGACAAGCAGCTGCCAATGAGCATGATTGTGCCTCGAGTCCAGTGAACCTTAGATGGCTTGTATTGAACATGATGTTCAAGACTTTTATGGACGAGGTAGAATGCTTTTCCCTTATAAAGACAAGCTACCAGAGCTCCTGCAACGCACAATATTGCACCTGACGTCTTGATTTTTCCTGCTCCAGTACCTAGTCCCAATTTCTCAATTCTAACCAACAACATTAATTGTTTAAAATTATGTAATTCTAACATATGTAAAATGTATGATTTAAATGTTTGAAGCTAAGAACAGAAGTATATCTTAGTTAATGTTAAACTCAGAATGATCGAAAACAAATCAAAGTACCTTAAGATGATGGAGAAGACAAAGGTGACTACTGGAACCAAGTTGAGGAAGTTGATGGCATATGTAGCTGTGGTGTCTTTGAGACCATAGTAGAACAATCCCATAGCCATTATTATCCTGCATTAAATAATAAATGCTTACACTATACATCTTCTTACAACTTGGACATCTAATTGGATGCATGTCCTTCATTTTGTATTAAGATTTGATTTGTCAATTGAGTCGTGAGGAAACAATCTCAAGAACGTAAATTCCTGAATTTGCCCTTAATCGCTTCCTACATGTACAAGGAATTTCGTTAATTGTACTCAGGATCCAAACCATTCCTTGTTAAAAATGTTTGAGGAACAATTCTACCCCTTTCTTTTGACGATAGCGTTAAACAAAACCATTCTACTTTGTTAGCACTAATGTTGTAGTATTCTGCCTTAGTCAGAAGACAATAAGACTTGCTAGGTTGAAGAGAGGCCATCAATTCTGAATTTGAGATTCAATTCCAGCTATTAAGAAAGAGCTATAATTCAAAACATTGCAAAAATGTTGATGTTTGAAAGAAAAATTGCTTACCCGCTCAAGGAATTAAGAAAGAGCCAGAAGAAAACAGACCAACTCAGCTTACTTTTAACGCCTCTGCAACCACATCATCAATAAAAGACATCCTTAAAAAAATGCAAGAAAGAGGGAAAAAAAAGGTTAGAAGAACAAAGAATTAAAGAGAATAGGAACCAATAGGGAAATTAATATTCAAAGGCATACCTTTCAAAGAAGAAAGCAAAAGGAGCAATGCAAAGGGCAGCAACCACATGCCTATAGGTCATAAGTGCAAGCACAAACGTCCCATTGCTCAAAATAACCTTAGAAAGCAATTGCATTCCAATGGCAATCACTTGAACAATCAACATGCTCATCACTGTTTGTGATGAAACAAAACATTTCTTTACCCAATTACTTCCCTCCATTATTCTCTCTGCCTCTCCGACTCTTCAGATTTAGAATACAGAGGGACTGATTATAATGGCAGGTAAATAAATAAATCCCTTTTGTTCTTCTTCTAGAATTTAATTACATACTGCTATCTTGACACCACTTTCTTTCCAGATGGCGTCAAAAAAAGAGATTTTAATTAAGGCATTACAGGAAAGTCAGCAAATAGGGAAGGGAAGATGGTCACAGTGGCATCCATGCATATTGCTAGGCTGGCTGGCCTTGTTTTTTTGGCTAATTAAGCTAACTATCTAGGAAAGTGTTGTAGTTTTACTAGGTTTCTATCACTAATATAAAATATTTTTTTAGTCAATCATACTAAACAAGTTAGGGCAGCACATAGTATCAGACCCAAAAAACTGAACCGATCATGGTTAGTGAATCATCGTCATCACCACTTTCGTATTTGAAGAGGCTAGCTAGCTAGCTAGCTATATATACTTGGTTAAACTTTTACATTATGCTCAAAATGGTATAAAACATCAATTTGGAGGAAGTAATTGATATGGTTCGTGAATCATGCATGGGTGGCATGTTGTATTTGTATTTTCTTTTGTAACTATTTATATCTTGTAATAAATGATATTTTTAAAAAGAAGAATAACTAGTATTCTTATAAGAGATCTTTTATTTCCATACGAGAATCTTAAGAATTTGAATGCGTCGTCATATATATCTTTTTTCTATTTTAAATTTAATGTAAATTGCCTAGGTCTAAGGTATCCAATTGATCTTTTATGTATATATATATATATTGTAACTCTTTATATCTTGGAATAAATGATATTCTTAAAAAGAAGAATAATTAGTACTCTTATAAGAGATCTTTTAGTTTTTTTTTTTTTTTTAATACTCACACACCAAGGCTCTTTGCAGAACTAGTCTACTAGGATTTGAACCTTGATCCATGACCTTTTGTTGCAAAAAACCATTGTCATTGAGTGACAAACTCTTTGGTAGAGATCTTTTAGTTCTATATGAAAATTTTAAGGATTTGAATACGTCATTATATATATGTGTGTGTATGTGTGTTTCCTTTTCTAACTTTTTATATCTTGTAGTAAATGATATTCTTAAAAAGAAGAATAACTAGTATTCTTATAAGAGATTTTTTATTTCCATATAAGAATCTTAAGAATTTGAATGCATCGTAATCTATATTTTTTTCGTATTTTAAATTTAAGGTAAATTTTCAAGGTTTAAGGTGCCCAATTGATCTTTTATATATATATATTGAAGCAAAAAGATACAATTTATGTATTGCATTCATATAAGAAATGATAGAAAAAGAAAGGGGAAACCTCAAATGTAGCCCCTAATATACTATCTTATTACCAATTGAGTGCAAAACATTTTAATTTTATCTATTTTTCCTCAAACATAATTCACATGAGACAATATCACCCCTCTATCCATGTATTGTTAATGATAGTTAAAATATTTTGTCTAATTTACAAGTATACGTGAAGTGTTTCTATCCAAAGCGTAGAAGAAAAAACAAACAAACAATATGCCTCAAAGAATAATTGGGCATTAAATCATATTACTTTTATTTTAATTTTTTTTTAATAATGATTTAATGTGAAAATTGTCTTGGGTCTTGAGAACACATCAAAGTATCAACTAGTGTTGTGATTTGTAGAATAATAAATACTAACCAAAAAAATCTCTTTACAATTGATATCTCTTCTTCACAATCGGTGTGAAACTCATATTTATAACGAAAGAAACACTCTCTGGTTATAATGAAAGAAAGACTTTCTTGATCTTTAGTATCTCACCGTTCTTGTTCTTAATATTTTGATGTATTATCGAATATGTTTATAGCAGGGATTCAATCAGGTACGATTCAAGGTTGTAAAATCAAGAGAAGTTACCCCATTATCTCACATAACGTTTGATACCTTGCTCGTTTGGCAGGGAAAAGATGAATGAGGCAGCTCAAATTTTGGGTATCCTATAGCAGTACAGGAGTGTATCAGGCCAAGATAAAACTTCCACAAGTCTAGCATCTTTTTCAGCGCAAACACCCCAAGCCGTGTTAGACATGAAGCGACCACAGTATTGGGAATGAAAATTGCAGATCCCTCTGACAGGTAACTCGGTCTCCCTGTTGAGTGGAGAAGGTCAAATGTGGAAGTTATGTAACTCTTGAAGAAAAGAAAAGCCTACCGATTGAAAGGCATTTACACTTCAACAACACAAACTTTTGGGTTGGCTGGAAAGAAGGTAATTGAATTCTTCAACTTGGGGCAGCATTTTAGAGGGCAAGGAGCTTTTAAAGCAGGGTTCTTGATGGCATGTGGGCAATGGGGAAACTATCAGGATATGGGATGATTCTTGGATCGCATCACTACCACTTTTTAGGCTACACATAGCAAGAACTGCAAATTGCAATCTGAGTGTTGTGAAAGACTTGTTCCGTGGAAACACTAGCAGGTGGTGCATGTCTAAACTTAGGGAGCATTTTGACGATGAGGAAGTCCAGGCCATCCTCAAAATTCCATTTCAGTGCTGGTACCAACTTATTCCGATATGTTCAAAATCAATGTAGATGCAGCTTTCATAGGCCTTCCAGTTGATACAGATTTAGGGAACATTTACAGAAACAGCAGTGGTGAAGTAGTTGATTGGATATCAATAATATGAAGATGCAGCAGTGTTTTACAGGGTGAAGCATTAGCTTTTAGGGAGGCTGTGAGGTTAGCTGCCATGAGGCAATGGACTTTGGTGATTTTTTGAATCAACATTAGTCCAGGCTCTATCTTGGCAAAGCATGAACGTTAATTGGGAAATTCGACCAATAGTCGAAGATATCAAACAGATGTTAGCTAGGTTTCAACGCTCACTTGTATCTCATATCAGTAGAGATGCTAATTCTATGGTTAAGTGGATAGCCACAAAATGAATTCTACGTTTCTGCTGAACTTATTTATATAGCACCCATTCATGCTGTACGATCTGCTTAAGAGGGACTTTTCCTCCTTTCAGCACAGGTAATTATGGTTTTCTCACTAAAAAAAAATAGCGAATCAACACTTAATTAGCAATTTCGGATATCGATTGGAGCAACCAAGCAAGACAATAATGATGGACTGATTCATGAATTATTGCTTATGGTGAAATGCATACCTTATCTTGTAATAATTTATCATTTCCTTTTTCACAAGATCTTAGCCATGATCTTGTGTTAGTCCAAAATGGGCACCTCAATAATTAGGCTTTTGATATTTAACTAAGGCATTTGCTTTAATCATAATCCTGATAGAGGTGAGAGTTAATCCTACTAAAACCTAACTTCTTGTACATATTAGTACAATCAAACCAACCCTGAATGTGCATATATGATTTGCTACTTGAAAGATATTTATCCTTCTAAGAAGATGACATCTACCTACCAATAACTGATTGCAATAATTTTGAACAATCTGGAAAGGTATATCAGCATAGTACCTGCTAAAAGATGAACTCTAGATTGATGTCCCTTATTCATTTAGGTTCCTAATTTATTGTGGCCTTCTTCAATTACACAAGTGGGAAGCCAAAATAGAAGACAAGAAGGGACCCTAGAATATGACTCAGAAATCATTATGCACCTCAGAGTCAGACAACCATAGCTATACCCCATGAAAGGAATGGAGCTAAAACTCACGATGTTACAAGTCGTTATCAGCCATTATACCATGATAAAGATAGCCCTTCTCAAGGTCTTCAAAACCAGGACAAGTCGATGTTTTTGTTCACTTGTGGACAAATTACAGACTATCAAGTTCTTCACACAGAGATAAGTGTGGAAATAGAGTCGTCTACTTAGCAAACTCCTCCAACGTTTACCTTGCCAGGTTCTCTGTTTCTGTAAGGAACTTTTCTTTAGCAGTTCAGTTCTTGTTCTTCTTTGTAATCTATAATGGGTTCTTTCTGCTACTTCTGGTTGTTATTCTCAGCAACTTTGATAATGCTTATAGTATATCCAATTTTAGCTGACAAAAAGAAGCAGGGAACTGGACCTGCAATTGCAGTGACCAAGCACCTTTCCTTCTCAGATTTTAGGCCAGATGATCCCAAAATTGTACATGAGGTTAAGCTCTTAGGTAGTGCCAAGTTGTCAGATGAAAAGGGTGCTATCCAAATTCCTGATGAATCCCATTTAAGTGATCTGAGACATCAAGCAGGACGGGCCATCTATTCTTATCCTATCCGTATGCTCGATCCGCTCACTGGCACTCCGGCTTCCTTCGAGGCCACCTTCTCTTTCCAATTTAGCAACTCTAGTGCTTCTTCCCATGCCAACTTCACTGGTGGTTTCAATAACACTGGAGGCAGTGGCCTTGCCTTTATTATGGTGCCTGATGAGTTCACTGTGGGTAGACCTGGACCATGGCTAGCCATGCTCAATGATGCCTGTGAGGACAACTATAAAGCTGCTGCCATTGAATTTGATACCCGTCAAAATCCAGAATTTGGAGATCCAAATGACAATCATGTGGGAATCAATCTTGGCAGCATCATTTCCACCACGACCGTAAATGCTTCAGATGCAGGTGTCTACTTCAAGGATGGTTTGATACACCAAGCTAGGATTTTATATAACGGTTCGCGACGCTGGATGGAAGTTAGCCTTGGATCGAAGCCCGTCTTCTCAGGTTCTCTTGATCTCTCCCCTTTTCTCAATGAATACATGTTTGTTGGATTCTCAGCTTCAACTGGCAATTTGACCCAAATCCACAATATATACTCGTGGAGCTTCACTTCTACTAGCCAAGCCTCTCTTCGTGTCCCATCTGCAGAGACATGTGAGAGTAAGATTATGGAGCGATATGGTCTAGGTGTTCTAAGTTCTCAGTCACATAGCTCAATCAAAGAACCCTCAAGAAGTTTGTTGATTTTCATTAGCGTGATGGCACTGGCTATAGCTGTGTTTGCCAGTCTTTTCTACATTTGCAGGCGCAGAAACAATCAAGCTAAGGCTGTGATATTTCCAGATAAAAGGCAACGACCAAGGCCTCCCAACAAACCCCGCCGCTTCACCATCTCTGAAGTTTCCTCTGCCACTCGGGGTTTTCATGAATACGAAATACTAGGCAGCGATTCCAAAGGTACTTACTATAGAGGGAAGCTTCCAAATGGTTGTCAAGTGGCCATTAAACGTTTCTCTGCTCAATTTTTGAGTTCACAAATTGGAATGGATAGACGGAGATTGCTCAAAGAAATCAGTACCATTAGCCGAGTTCGACACCCCAACTTGGTTCCTATCAGAGGATGGTGTCAGGATAATCGTGAAACTATGGTTGTGTATGAATTCTTTCCAAATGGAAGTCTTGACAAATGGCTATTTGGGGTTGGCGTGCTTCCATGGACTCGGCGGTTGAAAGTAGTTAAAGATGTTGCAGATGGACTCGGTTTCCTCCACTCAAAGCAGCTAGCTCACAAGAATATGAAAGCTACCAATATCTTTCTTGATGTTAGCTTCAGAGCAGTTCTGGGTGACTTTGGCTTCGTGCTTTCTTCCACGGAGTCGCGGCGGTTTGAAGCATCTGTGAGTCAAAAGGCTGATGTGTTTGAATTCGGCATTTTTGTGCTGGAAGTTGTTTCTGGGAGAGGAAGGTTGGAGTCTGAGGTGAGGCAAGAAGAGAGGGATTTGCTGGATTTTGCATGGAGAATGCACGAGATCGATGAGAAGGCAAGATTGGTGGACAGGAGAATGGGCTCAGTGGTGAACTTGGAACAGGCAATTAGAGTGTTGGAGATTGGACTGCTTTGTACACTAAATGAGAACAAAGGCAGGCCATGCATGGAGGAGGTGGTGGAGTTTCTGAACCTAGACAAGTCGATTCCTGAGTTGCCACCAAATAGACCCGTCGCTCTTTTCCCCTATAGCAGCGCCAACGCTGGTCTTTGCAATGGCTATTCCTGTGCTCCTTTCAAGTGAACGTATTGAATTTTTGGGCTGCAAATCAGCACCATCAAATTTGCAGACAAGCAAAGCAGAGCAAAGGTTGGTTGCTTATTTTAGTTTTGTGAAATAAAATCGATTCAATTCCAGCATATAGATGATGTAAGTTTTATTTGCCACAAAATTATGATAACCAAGAATTTGATGCTCACAAGAAAGATTGGCATTTATTATTTAAAAAACAAATGAAAAGAGGAGTAGCATGAAAGATATGCAATAAGTTATTGCTCTAAACTTTCTTTCTTTAACAAATCAAGACAAGTTCTCATACAGTTCTTACATCCTTATGGCCATTGCCATCGTTTATGAAGCTGAAGCCAAGTTTCTATGCCTTGGATTCATAAGCCGAAGGCAAAAAATTCACAGAGCTAAAATCACTTCGTATGTTCAAGCAAAAGAAAACGGTTGAGATCATTGTTTTAAATAACGGTCGTGGTTGAAAAAAGGGTCGCGATCACGATCGTAAAACAACGGTCACGGCAATTAATTGCGTGAATACATTAACGACCGATAATAAATTTATTCTAATTCATATTTTTTGACAATTTTAGTAATTAAACATAATAATAAGTAATCATATCTCTAATAGTTTAATGGTATATAACAATAGTTAAATTTATTATAAAAAATAATTAATAACACTTTCAATGAATTAATATCATATGAAAAATAATAAAATACATTATAATTTTAGTAATTACATGAGAAAGAAAGCAAAAGAAGACAACAAAAAAAATCCTTCTTTCATTAGTAACTGTGGGAGAAAGAAAGCAAAAAAAAACAAAAAAAAGTCCCTCCTTTTCATTAGTAATTGCGGGAGAAAGAAAGCAAAAGAAGATAAAAAAATATTTAGCTGCATTTCAAGCTTTTTTTCGACAGTTTAAATTTTTTATATATAACTTTGTTATATAACGGCTAATAACGATATTACATAACGGTAATGTCATTATCTATCGTTATAGGCATGAAATGATGTTGACGCCCTTATAACGCCGAAAAGGGATAACGGATTGCCCCATTGCCGTTATAGCTGTTTTTTAAAACCATGGTTGAGATGAATGCAATCACCTGTGACGTACTAGAAGCAAAAGGAAAGTTAAGTATCAGCATCATGGAATAATGCAAAAACCGTAGTATAAAAGACAACGAAGCATGATCAACCATCCTCATACGCAGATCAACCAGAAACAAGGAAATATAGCCCATTCTCATGGTAGTAAAATCAACAAAATCCAGAGTAGCAAAAAAATGAAACAGCTAAACAGCAGCTTACACGCAGAAATAGGTAATTGTAAAGTAAGACTTTTATTTATTGGTTTTTTTTTAAAAAAAAAGAATTTTAAGAGGCATTCAGTAAAAGCAAAATATGCTCTCTGTTTGATGAAGCCCTTGATATATTATTTCATTATCGATTGGGCTCTAAAACTTTTTATTTTATTGATTTAGCCCCTAAAATAGCCTTTGTACTTTTCTTTTTTAAGTAAAAAAAATTGGTTTACCGAGACCAATATTAATTCTTTTTTTTTTTTTTTGGCTAAACTAAAAAAACACCTTCCTAAAAAAAGATTTCCAAAATCCACTATAACATTCTAAAAAGGTACACATTTAACAATTTAATATTTAGATGGGTTTGAGATTTTTTGGCTGTTTTCTATTTTATTTTATTGACTTAATAAAACAGATGTATGACATAAGTTATTTAACAATTCTATTAACTATTTTTACGAAAGATTCAATAGAAGGATGATATTGAAAATATTAGGTAATGTTAAAAAGCAAAATTGATTGCTCAAATTAATTATAAAAAAAATAACTTGTGAACAAGGCAACTAGTTAGGGTCATTTTGTAATTAATCCTTTTAATTTGGTTCATCAAAATTGCAAAGAGCCTTTGCACTTCATAATAAATATATAGACATCACTCTGTGTAGCCGCACTATCAAAGAAATCTAAATTATCTAGTGTAACTTTTTTTTTTTTCATAATTCAAAAGGTTTTAATATGAATCTTCCTTAAAGCTTATAAAATCCTCTTCTATTTCGATGATGATTGATTTTCTAAGATCTTATTTTGTAAAATCTTCTTCTTTTCGAATGATTGACATAGCAGAAACTTACAAGAGTAGACAAACACCGTTGGTCCGTTAATTCAAACATGAATTTCAAATGTCGATCTACTACAACCTATAGAATTATATATAAATACTAGAAAATAAGCTTCAAATTCCGTTGATTCAAAGAATGTCAAAAATTGGGATAAACTAAGATACTCTCTTGGAATTTTTATTAATCAAAGAAAGACTCGTTTCCAACCTCCAATTCATATATAAATAGAAAAAAAAAAAAAACCTAAACCAATTCGAAAAGGAAAACAAATACAAATTAAGAAAATTAAGAAAAAATCCCGAAAAAACATAGAAGTCCATTTTTAGGACCTAAACAAGTCTTTTTTCACTAAAATCACGTCTCCACATGGCACAACCATGATTTTGACTCGTTTGACCGTTTTGCATCACATTAAGCCTAAAAAGCCTCAAAATTGGACTAATAGTTTTTCTCAGCTTTCAAGTTTTACGATCGCGCTCATACCGCTCCATAAATTCTAAGACATGTTGGACCGCATCAATGATGATGTTTGATTATGTAAAATCCTCTTCCGTTTTGATTACGTTTAATTCGACAAAATCCTCTTTTGTTTGGACGGTGTTTGATTCTACAAAATCCTCTTCTCGTTTGGATGTTGATGTTTGATTCTATAAAATTCTCTTTTGATTGGATGATGTTTAAAACCCTTTTCTCGTTTGAAATGACATCTAAACAAAAAAGGATTTTATAGAATCAAACATCATCATCCAAACAAAAGAAGATTTTACAAAATCAAATATTGTCCAAAGAGAAGAAGATTTTATAGAATTAAACGTCATCAAAATAAAAGATGATTTTACGGAATCAAGCATCATCATCCAAATAGAAAAGGATTTTACAAAATCAAACATCGTCTAAACAAAAGAGAATTTTATAGAATTAAACATCATGATCAAAATAAAAGAGGATTTTACTCGAATTTTACAAAATCAAATATCATCATCTAAACGAAAAGGATTTTACAAAATCAAACTTCGTCCAAATAGAAGAGGATTTTATAGAAAACGACATCATCCAAACATAAGAGGATTGATGTCCAAATAGAATAAGATTTTATAGAATTAAACGACATTATCTAAACGAAGAGAATTTTTATAGAATTTTTGATTTTGTAAAATCATTTTATAAAATCCTCTTCCGTTTGGATGATGTTGTTTGATTTTGTAAACCCTCTTCTCGTTTGAAAGATGATATTCGATTATGTAAAATCCTCTTCTATTTGGACGACGTTTAAAACGAAGAGGATTTTATAGAGTTAAAAATAGTCCAAACATAATAAGATTTTATAGAATCAAAAATCATCATCCAAACAAAAGAAGATTTTACAAAATCAAACATTATCCAAATAGAAGAGGATTTTATAGAATTAAATGTTATGAAAACAAAAGAAGATTTTATAGAATCAAACATCATCTAAATAAAAGAGGATTTTATAGGCTTTAAGGAAGATTCATATAAAAAACTTCTTTTTATGAAAAAAAGTTACACCTGATAATTTACAGCACACCAACTATTAAATACACAGCTATAAAACAAAGGCTACATGCCCATTTCTTTTTTCTTTTCTTTTTTTCGAAAAGTATTTGGCTACCACTATTAAACAAAACCTGCATGCCTTTTTTGTTTTTTTTTTTTCCTTAAAAAGTATTTAAGACAAGTAGAGGTATTAAAAGTCTCTCTTCCAGTAAATTCCTATTTTCTAATTTGTAATCATTTTACACAAAATGAAATAAAGAATGAGAGAGGAGTATCCTGATGACTGGTGCCTCCGTATGTCTTACTATTGTTAAATTAAATAATAAGAAGTTAAATTACGGAGTAAATTATAAACTAGTCCTTCTAGATTCATAAAATGAATTAAATAGTTTCTCTAGATTAAACATTTAATTAATTAGTTTTTTTTCATTTATTTTACATCCCTTTTCATTTTATTTTGTTCTTTTAATAAATAAATAAATAGTATGGAAAGTTGATGAGAAAAAAAAAGGCATTTTTGAAATACATTAATGTTAAATTAAGTGTAATCAACACTAATCAAATATCTAATTGATTAGTTTTTAAAAATAGAAAAACTATTTAATTCATTTTCAAAACTATAAGGATTGTTTTATATTTTCAAAACAAAATATTTGTGGTGATTGATTTCATAGATTTGGTATAAATCCGGAAGTCTTAAACTTTCAAGAATACACAGCAAAACAATGTCTTAATGTCTCTTAATTTAGTCACTAATCTTTATACCATTTCTCAATCAAGTCTAAAAATTATATATTTTAAACATTTCTAAATTGAGTTATTTTGTTAAAGTTTGTTAATATTTTGTCTAATAAGCCTATTTTAAGCAATAAAAGAGATCATTTTATAGAATATTTGATACAAAAGTTAGTAAAAGAGGATAAAGGGATCAAATTTATAAATCTCTAAAATATTTTGTCTTAGAACTCAATAGATAATTAGGTAAAATGTTGGGGACTAATTTGAGGTTTCCACTCAAACGTTGTAACCTCAAGTCCAAACAAATTTTTTTATAATATTTAAGGATTAATTAGTGTAAATTACTCTATAAAGAGAGATAGACGCAAACAAGAGAGAGAAATAAGAGAGAGAAAATTAAAAAAGAAATTTGAGCCAAAAAAGAAACTTTTTATCATTTTTTTGTGGATCCGAATATGATTCTTTTTCCCTTTAATGTGTTTATCTCTCTCCTAAAAAGTTTAAGAGTGATCGTTCGATTTTTTTGTTCGGTTTTATTTTCTTTTTCGATTTTTGGTTAACTCGAATTAACCAAAATAAAAATCAAAACCGAATCAAAATGAGATTCGATTTTTCAAT